AGAAAGAAGACAAAAGTTTGATGATGGGGAGAGAAGAGAAAGAATAGGAGAGAAAGAAAACCAGGAAGGTCAATCTTCCTGTTGTTAGTAGGGAGTTAATTGTAAATGATGATGCTTTTACCCTAATAAGGAGAAGGAGGATGGCCCCTAGATTTTTTTTCTTTAGAAGGTTTTTTTTTAATGTTTATTTATGTTGAGAGAGAGAGAGAGAGAGAGAGAGAGAGAGAGAGACCACACATGTGCATGCATGCATGAGTGGTAGACGGGCAGAGAGAAGGAAAGAGAAAATCCCAAGCAGGCTCCATTCTGTCAGCACGGAGCCCAACATGGAGCTTGATCTCACAAGCCCATGAGATCATGATCTGAACCGAAATCAAGAGTTGGACACTTAACCAACTGAGCCACCCAGGTGCCTCTGGTCCCCCATATTTTATAGCAGGGTGAGAGTGTTGCAAAGACTAGCTGTTTTAGGCTTGTTGACTTGTGGAGAAGCAGAAATAAGGAAGTACACATATCCATTCTGTCAAAAAGTGCAGTGACTTATATTTCTCGAATAGTTTAGTTTCTCATGGACAGACTTAGGTTTGCCTAGGTCTTTTCCATTGAGTCAACTCTAGTGCAAAGTGAAATAAAGAGTGCTTTTTTAAAAAAAAAAAAAAAACCTCTTGATTACTCGGTGAATGCAGATGCCTTCTGTGGTGATTAATTTTATGTCAAGTTGATTGAGCCATAGTGCCAGATATTTGGTCAAACATTATTTTGGATGTTTCTGGGAGGGTGTTTTGGGATGAAACTTAACATTTAAATTGGTAGATCAACAGGTAATCTATGACAAAGGAGGCAGGAATATACAGCAAATAAAAAAGAGTCTCTTGAATAAATGGTGTTGAGAAACCAGAGAGCTACATGAAAAGAATGAAACTGGACCACTTTCTAACACACACACACACACACACACACACACCTTAAAATGGATTAAAGACCTAAAAGTGAGACCTAAAACCATAAAACCCCTAGAAGAGAATATAGGCAATAATTTCTTTGACACTGGCAATAGCAACATTTTTCTAGATATGATTCCTAAAGAGCAAAAGCAAAAATAAGCTATTGGGATGATATCAAAATAAAAAGCTTTTGCACAGTGAAGGAAATGATCAACAAGACATAAAGGCAACCTACTGAATGGGATAAGAGATTTGCAAATGATAGATCCAAAAAGGAGTTAATATCCAAAAATATATAAAGAACTTCTATAACTCCAGCATAGATGGACTTGGAGGGTATTATACTAAGTGAAATAAGTCATTCTGAGAAAGACAAATACTATATGATTTCATTCATATGTGGAATCTAAAAAACAAAACAAGTGAATAAACAAACAAATGAAGAACAGAATCAGACCTATGAATACAGAGAGCAAACTGATGTTTGCCAGAGGGAAGGGTGGTGGGTGGATGGGAGAAATGGAGGAAAAGGAGTAGGAGATACAGGCTTCCAGTTATGGAATGAATAAACTACGGAAATAAAAGGCACAGCAAAGGGAATATAGTCAATGACATTGTAACAGTGTTGTATGGTGACAGATGGTAGGTACACTTGTGGTGAACATTGCATATCATATAGAGACATTGAGTCACTATGTTGTACACAATGTTAATGTACCATTGTGTGTCAACTATACTCAAAATTTTTTTAATGACACTAAAAGACAATAAAATTTAAATAGCTAGAACACATAATATTTTTTGTTTGTTTATTTTTGAATATGTTCATCTAATATCTGGTTTAACATAAAACAGTGATATTTCCAGAAACAATTTTTTTTACGTTTTTTTTCTTAAGTAGTCTCGACACCCAACATGGGGCTCAAACTCACAACCCCACGATCAACTGTCCCACACTCCACTGAGTTGAGCCAACCAGGTGCTCCCCCCACAAAAAAAATGTAACTAAAAAAATTGATGGATGGAGTAAAGCAGACTGCCCTCTATAATGTGAGTAGTCTCATCCAAACAGTTGAAAGCCTGAAGAGAAAAAAAGACTAACCTCTCCTGAACACACAGACTTTAGGATTCATCTGCAATATTCACTCTTCTTGATTTCTCCAGCGGGTTGTCTTTTCGCTTGAACTGTTAACTCTTTCCTGAACGTTCAGGCTGCCAGCCTCCTGAATTAGATATTGCATTTTCCGAGCCTCCTTAAAATAACACACACACACACACACACACACACACACACACACACACACGGTTCTGTTTCTCTGGAGAACCCTGACAAATACAGCATTCTATACGCTGACAAACGAAGTTGAGAAGCAACAAATGTGTTCATGCCTTTTTTGAGCCAGCACCGTAACTGAGGACTGTGGACTAGAGGGCAAGAACCCAGGATCTGAAGTCTCTGGCCTAGTTCAGGTGTAAGCTCCATTCTTTCTTAGCCGTCTGCCCTGGATCATTCACCTAAGCTTGAGACACAATTGTTCTGGGGACTAGAGCATGGCCAAACCCTAGTATGTTCCTTTTCTATGACTGCTGTAACAAATTACCACACACTCGGTGCTTAGAACAACATAAATTTATTCTCTTACAGTTCTGGGGGTCAGAAGTCTCAAGATGTCAAGAGGACTTCAGGAGGCTTCAGGGGAGGATGTTTCTCTCTTTCTTCAGCACCTTGAGGCTGCCTGCATTCTTTGGATCACAGTGCTTTCCTTGCATCCCTCCCATCTCCAATCTCTTGCTTCCATTACCACATTCCTGCTATTCTTCTGATCTCCTGCATCTCCTATAAGGACTGGGCACACCCAGGTAATCCAGGGTAATCTCCCCATACCATAACACCCTTAATTTAATCACATCTGAAAAGTCTCTTGACATCTAAGGTAATGTTCACTAGTTCTGGGATGAGGCCATGGGTATCTTTGGGGTGAGAGGTAAGGTATTATCTGGCCTACTACACCTGGACACCAGAGGCTACTGGTTACAGTTCAAAGGTGACGTAGGGGAGGGATTCTGAGATTTCAGAGTTGGAACTTGAAATTTTGTGGTTTTATTTTTTTTTTTTTTTGGAAAAGTACTCAACTATTTGCTGAATTCAGAAAGTTGCAACAAAAAATGCTTTCTTAGCTGCCAAAGAGACAAACATGTGTTGGTACTGTATTTTTCGTTAAAATTCTCCTAGAGTCATCACAGAATAAAGCTTCCCTTGCCTTAAAAAATAAATATAGGGGTGCCTGGGTGGTTCAGTGGGTTAAGCATCTGAGTTCAGCTTATGTTATGATCTTGTGGTTCGTGAGTTCGAGCCATACATCTGTCTCTGAGCTCACAGCTTGCAGCCTGGAGCCTGCTTAGGATTCTGTGTCTCCCTCTCCCTCTGCCCCTCCCCCGCTCCTCTCTCACTCTCTCTCTCTCAAAATTAAACATTAAAAGGTTTTTTTAGGGGCGCCTGGGTGGCTCAGTTGGTTGAGCGTCCAACTTCGGCTCAGGTCATGATCTCGCGGTCTGTGAGTTCGAGCCCCGCGTCAGGCTCTGTGCTGATAGCTCAGAGCCTGGAGCCTCTTTCGGATTCTGTGTCTCCCTCTCTCTCTGACCCTCCCCCATTCATGCTCTGTCTCTCTCTGTCTCAAAACTAAATAAACGTTAAAAAAAATTAAAAATAAAGGTTTTTTAAATAAAAATAATAATAAAATAAACATAAACATGTTTTTACAAGTTAATATTAGATCTAGGTATACAAGTCTATTGGGATTCTTACTCTGCAGCTTTACTAAGTACTTCATTCAGTCTTCTCTAAGTTACCTTCAGCAAGGGGGTGCCTGGGTGGCTTAGTCGGTTAAGTGATGACTCTTAATTTCATTTAAGGTCATGATCTCATGGTTCTTGAGTTGGAACCCCACATCAAGCTCAGCACTGACAGTGTGGAGGCTGCTTAGAATTCTCTCTCTCTCCCTCTCTCTCTGCCCTTCCTCTGCTTGCTCTCTCAAAATAAATAAATAAACATTATATATATGTATATATATACACACACACACATATATATACACACATACATATATATTTATATATATTTAATATATATTATTTATATATTTAATATGTATATTTAATAATTATATATTTAAGATAATATATTATATATTTAATATATATTAATATAATATATTATATATATATTTAAGTTACATGTAGTAGGTATTTAAACCTTTTAAGATGGACCCTGAGAAGCTCCCTCAACACATATAATTCAAGAATTATAAATAAATACACATCATTTGCTTTCCAGGAAATATCATCTAATATAAGTTCTAGAATTGTTTTGTGTCCTTAAATGCTGAATACAACTTTTGAGAGAATCTACAACGTTCAGTGCTTCCTTCTTAGCTACATGGATAGCTTTAGGAAACCCTCCGGCCTTTCTTTTTGGTGTATTGCTATATATTGGGTGGTCAGAGCACTGCCATAATCTTTGCTAGGTATATACTTAGCAGAGAAAACTGAGTTTTGAATCCCTAGAAAGAAGAGAACATTGAATAAATAAGTTTTTAAAAATCATCCTGATTGCTAAATTCACTGCTCAGCAATTGTTAGAAAGTCTGTAATTTCTACCAGGCAATGAAGACTCATGGTCTGAGACTGAGGTTAAAAGTCTTTGGGAACCCAGACTTACTTACTTATGTCTGCTGATGGCATTCTTCCCTAGGCATTCACCGACCTTTGGCACAGGGCTTCAAATAAACACCTGAGACTTGGTTTAGAACTCAAGGATGGGGGCACCTGGTGGCTCAGTCGGTTAAGTGTCCAACTCTTGATTTCGGTTCAGGTCATGACCTCATGGTTTGAGTTTGAGCCCAGCATTGGGCTCTGTGCAGACAGTATGGACCCTGCTTGGGATTCTCTCTCTTTCCCTCTCTCTCTGTTCCTGCCCTACTTGTGTGCTCTCTCTCTCTGCCTTTCAAAATAAATAGATAAATTTAAAAAATTAAAAGAACTCAAGGATGACTTATCTTTCCCATTCCAAGGACACTTTACTAAATACATAATTATGCTGTTCCTTCCTTCCTCCTCCACTGCTTTCTCCCCCTCTTCTTCCTCTTCTTCACCCTGAAACTCTCAGTATTTATCTTTCTGGGATTGCACTTGGTTGGTCAATCCAGTTCCCCTTGATGAAACATCCCAGTCATTTCAAGCCTTGTCAGAAATCATTGGCTCTGTTAGTTGCTTCATTGTCCATTTCTGTGTTTTCTTGTTTTCTTTTTAAAACTTGACTTTATCGCTGGATGAAGAGCGTTCTCTTTTCTTTCAGCATCAAGTGGATTGCCATCATGGAAAAGGCAGCCAACCATGTCACAGCTCCTGTCACTGTGTAGGTGAGACCTAAGAAAAGGCTACTGCCTCCACTCCATGTCAGGGTGGAAAGAACAACTGATTTTTCTCCTTTGAACCTGGTTACTGGAAAATCTAAAACAAGAAGAACTGTTAAGGACCTATCTCGACACTGTCAGCTCTACCACTGTATATCCTCAATATAGTACCATTATAGTATCCTCAATATCTGAACCACATAAATTTGTTGTTTTGTAGGTTAAAAGAATGGTTGAATATTCAATGTCATATTGTCTAATGTTTACCAAGCAATGTGGTGTATCTTGCTGGAATGAAATTAAGTAAAAAGAAGACTTCTCTCACCATAGCTCTAGTCTATAAAAGAAATTCTGACACAAATACATCAGAATGGCTTACAGACAACTAAATTATGAACAAATATATTTAATTTCCTTTGGCAGACCCAAGGAAATGAAAAGAATACAGATGGGTTTTATAGCAAGCCTAAATTTATGTTTATGAATCAGGAGACCCAGCGTAGGCTAAAGTCCTTCATAGACTGTTTGAATTTCTACCTGAGGGAAAATTCTTCAAGACCAGTGAAGAAGAAAAAATAATGAGATAGATGGCAAAACATTTTTGGTGGGAAAGCTAAAGGTGGTGCATTCATTTGGGTTTTGAAAAAGCAAACATCCCTCACTGCCGGAGAGAAAATATTTGAAGTGGGTTTGCTATCATTAGCATTTTAATGATGTCATTTTGATTATGCCTGTGGCCTGAGGTTTTTAAACATCTGGTGCCTTTTGTAAACCAAACTAATAAACAAATAAAGGCTTCTCATAGCAACGGCACAGGACAGAAGCATTTCCCAGCAAAGCTCTTAAAAGGCCTCGAATCACTTGGCAACATGCGATTTAAAGGCACAAGGAAATTAACCAGTTTCCTAACAAGGAAAAACAAGTTCTCTCTCTTTCTTTTCCATCAGAATTCTTCACTGTCACCAGGTCCTTGAGTGCCACTTTGACCCACCTGCCTGTTTTCTTTCCTCAGTTCCATTAAGATCATTTCCTTGCACAAAGAACATCTTTTTCCCCTTAGGAGTGGTAGGTGTTTGCTGCAGCTCAGATATAGCTGTTCTCCTTGCATAGCAGCCAGGCCGTGAGGCAGGCTGGGTACCGCTCACATCAGGGCTCAGCATGGTGAGCACAAGTATAGGACTGAAACTCAGGATCTAGGTTCTGCTTGCTAGATTTACACTTGAGAGTCATCAGCATTAAAATATGACTGTGAGCGAAGTCACCTGAGGAGAGCTTGTCTCCAGAGGAGAAACAGTGTCTCCTTTGTTTGGAACCCATGCTTCTCCTCAACTTGAAACTCCTTATCATGCATTGTGAGGACATAATTGGTTTTTTTCTTCCTGTTTTGTGATTGCTACTGTAACTGGTAAGGCAGTCATAGACAAAGTTGGTGGCACCGGAAGATCTAATTTGAGAGACTGCTGTCAAGCAACTTTCAATCTCAAATTTTGGGGGGGGGGGTTGCTAAAATCCTATTAAAAAGGTAATAGTCTTTGGCTTACTCTTTGATGTGTATGGATAATGCTGCATAAGAAAAATCAGTTTGTGGCTTTCATTTTCATTTTGGGAGACATGAAAATGAACAAACTGAAGGCAAACTGTACTCCTCATCAGTGAACAAAAAGGAGGCAACAGGCTGAGAAGTAGAGACTGTGTCACGTCGGTAGGGGCGTCTTTGACTGAGGAAGGTCCCCCTCCCCTGTCAGGATGGAGATATCCACACTCCAGGATAGAAGAGAAGATGGAGCTGGGAACTGGAACACATGCAGTCAATTCACTTATTCTCAAGTATTTCTCATTCAAGCTCCCTGAGAGGTATAGAAACTAAGGAGGGAGACAGCTTTGTGTTAAGATCCTCTGGCCTGCCACGGGCCCCAAGAACAACCCCCAGTCAGTAACCCTGAGATGCTACTGGAAGTGCTGATGCTTATTTGGGCTGATGTCCCAAAGTTTTTACAAGCCCTGGAAAGTTTCAGCTTCAAGGAGAATTAGGAAGAGACTTTAAAGTCTGATGATGACAGTGAGTATAAATTGCTTATAAATATATATATTTTTTAAAAAACAGTGTTTGGTGTCATTTTGAAATTAAGTCTTTTTGTTTTTAGATCAAGAGTTACATTTGTATTTTTGAACTAAGTAAAAAATTCAGAATCTCATATGAAAACATGTATCTCCTAACTTGGACCTTATGTCTGTAACCAAGGCACTGACCCCTACTAGCTGGCTTTGTGCCAAAGGAAGGAAGAATAGCGTCTTCAGAGCACAGCTTACAGCACACATCACATGGGTTGGATGATCCCGACCTGCTTCTTGAGTCCGGGGCTCCCTTGGTCTATAGTTTTGCCTAGAATAAAAGGCTCTACAGTCTCAGTTTTCATTATTTTTAGCCCATTTTATACATTTACTTCTTATCAAATTGCTCTCTCTTCATTACTATCGTCCTCCGAACTCATCCCATCTTACACAGCAGTCTTTTCCTCTCTGTTAAAGATCTCAAGGCTCTGTGGTACTTAATCTTTATTGGAGGATAGAAATATCCCTCCTTACTTACCCATACCTACTTACCTGATACTGCTTTACTGTTATTCCTAAAAAACCCATTGTACACATTTGATTACATAAGGTGTAGAAAAACAGCTATATGGTGGCAAGTGACAGTATTACCTATGAGAGAACTATATATTTCTTCTTCATATAGATAGATTAGATTGTAGAATAGAAAAGTAAAAAATGAAATAATTCAACAACTAGTGCCCAGATAGACACTGATTTTCCTTCATCCCCAGGAGCAAAAGTGGTATAAAAGGATACTGTAGGTAATGTTGAAACTGTAGTTACCAGCAGGCAAGCCTTCAATAAAATACTGTACTCGATTGAGTCGACGGTATAGTTTTTTGAAAGTGGGAAAGGCAGCTGTCCGCATCCACACAATGAAGTCATCATTGAGGAAGCCATTGTTTTCTGTATCCTCTAAATCCAGTTCATAGACAGGTTTAGACCAGTATGGGGGCTTTGCGGTTCCTGTGGGAAGAAAATAATGGACATGGTTGAAAGAAATCATCTATACCCATTCAGTTTTCCTTAGAATGTAGAGAATGAAAAAACTTTTGCATTCTTAAGAGAAATAAAAATTAAGACTTAAAAAAAAGTGTGTGTGTGTGTGTGTGTGTGTGTGTGTGTGCATGTGTGTGAGCTCTCTGAATACATAACCACTAAAAATAATGGATTAAAAAGACTCTAGAGAAATGTAGGGGAAATAATGATGATTTGTCATAGGGTTAAAAAAAGAACAGAGTATCAAATTATATGTATATTATGTGTTCAACTACATTAAATGCATATAAAGCACTGAGAAAAAACACGTAGAGAAAATTATAATAGTGGTTGTATTCAGTGATATCATCATAGGTTCTGTATTTTCTTTAACTTCATTAGTAATTTAAAGAGAGAAAATTAAAACAAGATATGATCATTTCACCTAACTTGGTTAATTGGTAAAGAGAAAAAGAGTGACAACCCTTGATGATGCAATGGAAATGGGAACTCTTGAACAGAGCAGAGAAATGTGTGGATTAATAACACCTCTGGCAATCTAGGAACGTGCATCAAAAAGTTTGATAAGGGTGCCTGGGTGGCTCAGTCGGTTAAGTGTCTGACTCTTGATTTTGGTTCAGATCATGATCTCACAGTCTGTGGGTTCGAGCCCTGCATTGGGCTCTGTGCTGACAGTGCAGAGCCTACTTGGGATTCTCTCTCTCCCTCTCTCTTTGCCCCTACCCCTGTCTCTCTCTTGCTCTCTCTCTCTCAAAATAAATAAACTTTTTTTTAAAAAAGGTTTAATTATATTTTGGTCTAGAAATTCTACTTCTAGAAATGTAATCTAAGGAAATTATCATGTCTGTGCATGAAGATCGTGTTAAACAGAGATTCTCTGCAATAGTGTGCCTAAGAGCTGAAGGCTGGAAGTGAGGAGGAACTGGTAGATGGGAGGAGGTGAAGAGCAAAGGTACTGCAAGCCTCTTCTAAATCCAGGAGGCCTAGTCGGTTTGGGTGCTGTGGGAATGTTGGAAGCACAGGAGGGAGGGCCAGTGCCAGGAAATGAGTCTGTTGAGTTTAGTCTCATTCTCATACTTCCCACTTTAGGGCCCATGGTGGGCATGTCTGCCTCTCCCACTCTACAGCAGATTCTTGAGTACAATGTCTTCCTCATCTTTTTTCTGCTGGCATTTAGTCTAGTGCCTGGCACATAGTAGGTATTCAATATATGCTCAATAAAGGAATGAGTGGTTCTAATTAAAGCTGACAGAAGTTGATCCTAAAAACTATATTGAATTTTAAAGAATGAGTTAATAATGGAAAATTGTTTAATGAACTTTTTAGTTCCAGACAATTGGTCCTAGTATTTGTAGAAAACAAAATGAAAAAGGGAAAACCACTCTTTCTCAACTCTGACAATTAACTAAACTATTTTCTCTTAAAAGAAACCCAGTCGTGTTTTCTAAGCATGGGGTGTGGTGCTGGTAAAAGTGAGTACTGTGTTTGGTTGGATTAATCTGTTGGAGTATGTTTGTATTCTTAAACACTTCCTCAGGAAACAATCCTTTGCTGGAGAAACTTCCTCTGCAAATTCTGTGGAGCTCACCTATTTTGACCCTTCCCAAAACTTCAATCACTGTTGCCAGAAGAATTTTGATAAAAATTGAAATTGCCTTTGGTACCCATACTGTGGACCTCACCCTCTGTCTACTTTAGCCAGAGACATGCCCTAAGACAACGTGTCCTATGGGCACATTGACACCCAAGTCACCCAAGGAGCTTGTTAAAAATGTAGGTTCAAGCATGCCTTCTCCTACCAACCCCCGCTCCCACTCCATCCCACTACTGAAGAGTATAAGAAGTGTGGTTTAAGAGGCACCACTTTTCTTCATTTTCCAAGTTGGGTCATTTACTTTTATCCATTCATTCAACAATAAGATTTTCTTGATTGCTCACTATGTATGAAGGAACAGGGATATAAAACTTCCTAATTTCCTCAGGGAATTCACAGACTTGAAGTGGGGATGACAAGTATTCAAATAGATAATTACAAGATAATGTGGTAACTCTTACAGTGAAGGTAAGAACAAAGTATAGCAGAAGATGAAAGCCAAGACCCCTGTGTGTTATAGGCCTGTGGTTATGTGGGAAGACAAAACTATAGAATGCTGCCAAGTTCCTTTCAAACAGTAGGAAGTCAATCAGAGATAAAGTGACCATACATGCCCGTTTGTCTAAAGCAGTTCCAGCTGATGTCTGTTGTCTGTTATCCCAACTGACTTAGCATTTACCCCAAACAAATAATATGTTTATAACTCCATCCCTCCACCTTCCAGGTCTTAACGGGTAGTGTGTGAAATACCAATGTGCAGTTAATGGAGTACTTACTTTAATGTGTAATTAGTGAAAGATAACCAGAGACCCTTTCAATCAAAACACAACATATTCCTGTGACCTCTGCCAGCTGTTTGACACTCCAACTGATTAGGTCATAACCTCACTCTTGGCCTGTGAGATGCATGAAGATGCCAGTCTATAAGCCAGTGGGATCAGTGGGAAACATGGGAAATTATAGGTTACATTATACATACATGATATATGTGGGAAATAGATGCTGAACGGTCTTGCTGAGAGTCATCTGAACTCCCTTGCAACTGTGGTTTTATTATTTATTATATGGTGCAAATATGTAACTATTTTATTGTTTGGTATCAGTTTTTATTTGCTAGAAAGTCCCTGTAGCTGTGAAGAGTTAAAAAGGGAACACATATGTTTAATATAAAATTAAGTACAGTTTCTTGAGAAAGTTGATGAATGTGAAACTTGCAGTGTTAGTTGACATTTACCCCACAACAGGGGAATCATTGTGATGTCAGTGACTGAGTGAAAATTAAAAGACATAAATCTGCTGAAGAACATCAGAATCTACTTTAGAAGTTTGTGGCTATTTTTAGAAGAGTGTATCCAAAGACAATGCTTTACCTCAGATAGCTACAGAATGTCTATTTATATCTAATAATGTGAGCACGACCTTGACTTGTCATTTAGATCAAGTGAGCTTCCTTCTCCTTTTATTTAGAGGGTTTGTTGTTGTTGTTGTGTTGTTGTTGTTGTTACCAAAAAAGAAAAAAAAAAAAGCTTTCATGTTTTGCCTCTGTTAGCACAAAAAACCACTTTGTAAACAGTTAAATGAGGCAAGTTTTACATTAGTGTCTTCAGATGTTTCAAATAGAAACACCAGACAAGTTAATTATAATGCTGGTCTGATTTTTTGGGTTTGATTTTTCATGGAATCAAAGCAAGGCTTTTAGATATTCAATCTTGAAAGATAAAGCCTCTAATATTATAATAAATTGATTCTAAATTCAGTTAAAAAATTCAAACAGCAAGTGTAAATTTTTGGCTTTGTAGTGATAATATAAATACAAATGTGGTGGAGCACAATATCAGAATAAAGATAATGTTCTTAATAAATTGAGAAATTTACACAACAATGTTCTTAAATTGGTTGTAGTACATACATAATTTATAATTATATCCAAACAAGCTACACTATTTTACCAATCAAAAGAAGAGCTGTAGTTGTGCAAATTTAAATATTTTTGAAACTGAACTGCAAAATTTTTACAGTAATAGGGATGCTAAATTAAGGAAATACATCAGCATGGTATGTGGCCTGTCTTTGTTATATATCATCAACCCGAAATTTAGAAATGTTTGAGCCTTTGAAGAACTATTTTATATACCAAAAGATGTGTCCTACAATGATCTCAAACTTTTTTAAGCCCTCTAACTTTTGGTTGAATTTAATTCAAAAGAGTTGAAAAATTTTAAACAAAGTATCCAAAATATGGAATATCAAAAAACTTCAGTTTTTGATTTAATGAATTATAGTTATTGAAAGCCAAGCTTGCAAACAAGAAGATATTAAAATTTACCCCCCAAAAAGCAGGAAATTATTGAACATATTACATAATAAGAGGTCAAAATGTGTACAAATTTAAATTTTAAATTCTATGATTGTGGGGCACCTGGGTGGCTCAGTTGGTTAAGTGTCTAACTTGGGTTCAGGTCATGATCTCACAGCCCGTGGGTTTGAGCCATTGTCAGGCTCTGTCCTGACAGCTCAGAAACCTGGAGCCTGCTTCAGATTCTTTGTGTCCGTCTTTCTGTGTCCCTCCCTGACTCACGTTCTGTCTCTCTCTTTCTCAAAAATAAATAAACATTTAAAAACAAATTCTATAATTCTGCTCTGGATATTTCAATTTATGTAAAAACTCTTTTGATGGAGCTCCTATTTTATTTATTTATTAATTATTTTGTTTATTTCATTTCATTGTCTTTTCTTTTTTTTTTTTTAAAGTAGGCTTCGTGCCCAGTGCAAAACCCAACACAGAACATGAACTCATGACCCTGAGATCAAGAGTCAGATGCTTAACTGACTGAGCCACCCAGGCACCCTGGAACTCTTATTTTTAACTGAATAAAAAATGTTTTTCTCTTCCAGAATTAAATGATATCAAGAAAGTTTAATATTGTATAGCATCTGGAGGAGGGGCCAAAAATGGCAGAACAGCGTGGAAAATTTTTTTTGCATCTCTTATCCCTGAAATGCAGCCTGATCAACACTAAATCATCTCACACACCTAGAAAACTGATTTCAGGATTAACACAACAATCTGCACAACCCGAACCACAGAACTCAGCAGGTACATGGTGCAAAGAGGTGAACTGGGGGAGAGAGAAGCTGTGGAGGGCAGGGAACTGTATTTGCTTGCGGAGAGAGGACAGAGATGGGGGAAGAGTACTGGAAAATCAGCCCCCCACCCAAAAAAAAAGCAGCTGGAGAGAAAGTGGAAAAGTGGAATCAGTCACAGGGATGGAACAAAAAAAAAAAGGGAGAAGGGAGAAGGGAGAAGGGAGAAGGGAGAAGGGAGAAAGGAGAGGGTTTAAGTTCCATTAAGACTCTATAAACAGGGGAAGTGCAGAGTCTGAAACTCTGCAGCTTGATACCTGGAAGTGCTCTGGTGGGAAGGGCAAATCCCCAGGAGCAGAAAGCGAGGTCACACAGGAGGGGTGGTTCCCCTGCTGGGAGGACATTTGGTAGAGGCTGTGTGGCCTCCCCACAGGCAAAGGCCCCAGCGGACCCTGGAGAACAGCCACATTGGCTGGTGCTGGAACAAGGACATTAAGGGGAAGCCTGGTGCCAGATGTGTGTTGTGATTTTCCATAAACCCTGAAACACTGCTGCTACAAGATCACGTGAACTGTTTTTGGAGTAGACTGGCACCCAGCTGTAGTCTCTGGGCATCAGCAGCAGCAGTCTCCCAAACAATCCTGGGGGTGGGTTGGCATCCAGCCATTGCTCAACAAGACCCTCCTCCAGAAGGTCTGAGCAGGTCAGAGCTGCAGTCCCTCAGAAGTCAGGGGTTGGGAAACACAGCCGCATCTGAGTCAGGTGCCGCCTGGCAACCTGACTGCTTGGTCACAGACAGTGTAAAAGCGGGTAGTGGACAGAAGCCCAAGACAAAGGAAGGGTGCTTGATTGCCAGTCACAGAGAGCACAGAGTTCCGATACTAGAGACTGGGTAGCTGGGTGACACCATTTTCAGCCCTTCTGCACATGGGCATACACACCTACATACGCCACAACAATCCACCCCAGTAAGCTAAGCAGCACCATCTAGTGGAGAACAGACCTTTACACTAAACCCTGCCTAACTGGGCCAACAGTGCTCTTGACAAACACGTCTCTCCCCCTGCTTAGTTTATGGACTACAAAGTGCTTCATAGCTTCACTTCTATGGGAAACCAGATGTAATTTCAATGGTACTTCATTCTATTTGCTAGTCCTTTTATTCAATTTTTTTCTTTTCTTATTCTTGAATACAGAAAAAGAAAAAAATCTATTTTTATTTTCTATTTTTATTAAAAAGATTTTTCTTTAACTTTTTCTACTATATTTTTTACATTTTTAAAATTTTAAAAATTCTATTTGACTTTCATCATTTTATTTTATTCTATTCAAAGTATTTTCCTTTTTTACCTCTTTTTTCCTTTTCTAATTTTTTCCTTTTATTCTCTAATCTGTCAAGCTTTTTGGGGTAGTATTGACATTTTAACAATATTTATTCTTCCAATCCATGAGTATGGACTGTTTTTCCATTTCTTCATGTCTTCTTCAATTTCTTTCATAAACTTTCTATAGTTTTCAGTGCACTGATCATTTACCTTTCTGATTAGGTTTATTCCTAGGTACCTTATGGTTTTTGGTGCAAAAATATTTCAATAAAATGTTTTTAAAATAATAGAACAGATTCATTAGAAAAATAAAGAGGCATGTGGGTTCCCTGGGTGGCTCAGTTGGTTAAGCATCTGACTTCAGCTTAGGTCATGATCTCACAGTTCATGAGTTTGAGCCCCACATCAGGCTCTGCGCTCGTAGCTCAGAGCCTGGAGCCTGCTTTAGATTCTGTGTTTCCCTCTCTCTCTGCCCCTCCCCTGCTTGTGCTCCCTCTTTCTCTCTCAAAAATAAATAAATGTTAAGAAAAACTATAAGAAAAAATAAAAATACAGAGGCATGTAATGAAGACAGATATGGCCAAGAAACTGATTAAAGTATGTGACTATCCAGAATAATTATTCTGCTTATGTTATTTTTAATATTCTAATAATAAAGTAGTTTTTTTAGGTTGTTTTAATATACGCAGATATGTCATTTTAAGTTTTGAAAGAATTGCATTTTAAAATAGTTTGTATAGAATTATTTTACAGGTCCACCAATAGGGTAATGTCAATTTATTGATAAATAAATACAAATTTCAAACAAACATATGACTTGACTTATTCTCGTGCCCCTTTTTACTCTCAAAAGTGCACCAGGTTGGACAATAAATTACATGGTGACCCTAATTACAGATGAAGCAACACGTTTTTTAAAACATTGCCTTTTTCCAAATGATAAACTGAAAGAACCAGGGCACCAATTATTTCATGTTTCTGATAGGTATATGATGGAGGTGCCTGCAGGTAGGGAAAGTTAGAGCAAAACGGAGGTCAACAAAAAGTAAAGAAGGAGGTATCATAAACATTTCCCCATATATAAAAATCAATGTTTCTGTAAAGAGGTAAAAATGTTTAACATATGTATCTTACCTGTAAATGCACTAGAAAGATTAATGGCACTTGGATTCCGAAACTTGACATACTTATCTGTCCACCATGTAATTCCGCTCCTTAGCATTGGGACTTCCATATGTATAGATGAATTAAGGTTGTAGGAAAGAATGATGGTATCTGTAAGGAAATTAAAAATTGTCAGAGATATAAGCAAGCATTTTTGCCCCACTTCAAAGTACAAAACCAGACACAGATGAAAAATAAACTAGGGTTTCAGTAGACTCTCAACATGCCTACATGCAATAGGTGTTGGAATTATAAGACTATTCTTTTTCTTGCCAAAGCCTCAAATATTGGAAAATACTGTCAAGCTCCATTTAGCTCATGTTCCCTAACTACTTCAAATCTCTGGTAAGGGAGAACTTATTTGCAAATGAAATACCATAAGTCAATGGATAATGCATACAAAAATTTTTCTTGAACTGCCAGTTGCAGAGTTGATCTTCTGGACATTTAGGTTATTACACGCTTATGAAAAGGCACACCATGGAGACAGGAAAAGTCACCTACCATTGAATATGCTGTTGGCAATAGCACCACAAGGAGCGATGGGGGTCCCATTGTGGGACTTGCTAAATGGAGCACAGTTTCCAACATCCTGGATGCAAGATGATACAGTAAAGAGAAATGCTTTGGTAAATTCTCTTAGAATGTTAAAAGTGACAACACTGGCAATGTAAATCAACCCACAGTAATTTATTCACACATAACAAGATTATGGACTGCTACCAACTTTTCCCAGACTTCTGGCTCACTTAGACTCAGAAATTTTTGTGTTTTGGAGACGTGTGTGTGTGTGTGTGTGTGTGTGTGTGTGTGTGTGTGTGGTTTTTTCCCCCTTATTAACAATATGTAACATACCAATATATCTGCAGAAAGGAACTTAACTTGCTGGCTGTGCTAAATATACTAAGCTACACTGAAATACATTTTTAAACCCCTTTTTTTTTGTCAAAGTGTAACTCATATTCTGAAACTATACAAATGGTGAGTTTATATAGCTAGATGACTTATCACAGGGAATCCATACAGCTAACTACCAGAATGTATCTAAAAAGAGTGGTTGCTAAAAAATCATTTGATTATCACTTGCATATAATAATCTCAGTATGGAAAAGGTTTCCTTCTAGCTTTTTTTGCTAGCGTGGTGAGTATCATTTATCAAGAATAAAATTTTGTGTTCTAGGTGAGAAAGGGTATTTAATTAAACCAAAGTCTTTTAATCAATCAAGTAGGGCTGAATTTCCTTAATCTGGTCTGGAATGAACGTCCCAGTTATTGGAAGAACAATGGTAGGTATACAGGGAACTGGATTGAGACCAACCACTCAGAGTTACTACCAAAATGGTTGGTGCAGGAAAGGATAACCATTTAATTGGACAAGATACACATTACTGTTTTGAAGAGAGAAACCATGCCTCTCAATAGCAATTATACTGAAAACCCAGCTCCTTCAATTTATGCAAGAATGAAATGAGCATTCCTGCCTTGTAAAACTTTACGTTTTTAGTTTATTTTCCAAACTCTCTTTTAGACTGAAAGATCCACCTGGTCTTTAAAAAAAGGAGTATTATACCAAATTAAATAAAGTCTTACCTTTAAATCTGTACCCACCAGTTGGCTATTACTTCTGGATAGAATATATCGGTAAAGATTCTGATAGAAGCCATATAACTTGTAGTACAAATAAACATTGCCCTGTAAAGGAGAAAAGCAAGAAGAGCAGAGTAAGAAGAATTAACTAGAATATTAATAAACACAGACAGGATTTCTGTAATAAAAAGTACCACAGAAAAAATTGATGGGAACTGAAAATTTCTTTCTTAAAATTTTTTTCAAATTTTATTTTACAGAAAGAGAGCAAGCGAGCACAAGTGGAATAGGTACAGAGGGAGAGAGAATCTTAAGTAGGCCCCATTTTCAGCCCTGAGCCCCACGCAGGGCTTGATCCCACAGCCCTGGGATCATGACCTGAGCTGAATTCATGAGTGTGATGCTTAATGGACTGAGCTACCCAGGTGCCCTGGGAACTGTAAGTTTCTTTATATCAAACAGAAACCCAAGAAATCATTTAAAAAAAATCAGTGATGGAAAATCCTCATTTACACAGAATTATTAAAATAACCAATTAATTTATTTGAGATGATTTTTTAAGGGCTACTGTGTTCCTGCCATGAAAAGATTTTAAAACCATGAAAAGATTTTGTATTCTCAATATATAAAATTGATGTAACAAATATTGTTGTTTCCTAGCAATAGTAGGAAAAATGCTTTGCCTAGGAGTTGTGGCAGGCATCAAAGCCAATGATTTCAAAGCAAATCCTTGAACATATTTGAAGCTGGAACCACCAAGCATATTTGGGTGCATGTGAAAGGCATGAGATTAGCCCTGTGTGGCCTGTCTGGCTCCAGGGGTTTTGTCTTTGTATCCCTAGGATCTAACACAGTACCTGGCACACAGCACTTGCTCAAGAAATGGTGAACCATTCATTATGGACAAAAAAGGGGAATAGAATAACTCATGGTTCTGAAAGAAAGGTTATTTTCACCTTAGTGATAAGTCACCTTGTTGCCATGAGAGATGGTCCTTTTCATGTATGCTGTCCTATGAGGCTGCCTCATCACAGGCTACCAGCATGCTTAACTTATAGTGACATACCCAAATTCTCCAGCAGACTTGATACAGATTTTACTAACAGCATATATGATGCAAATGGAAATGACCAATGTGGCTGTTTATAATTAACATACTACCTACCTCCAAAATAATGAAGGCCTGCATCCAAAAATATGAAGGCCTTTATTAAGTGCTCTCCATATGTTAGATGCTATATTCAGTGCTAGAAATACAAATATATTCTTTTTCAATCTCCTGAGTCAATTGATTCTCTTATACTATGGAAAAATGGCATTTTGGAAAGGCTTCTGGTCTCACCCCAAGGACACTTAAGTGGGTAAGTATGGAAAATGTGAGCTGGTACTCAGGGCAGGCTGGAAATAAGGGTCATGGTAACTGTGGCCAGTTACAGAAAACAACAAAGGCTGAAGAGCTCAGTCACTTGTAAGAGAAAAGTGTCTGGAACACCAAGAAAGGGGAGATTCTGGGTCACGACAGAGAGGTAGGCTGCAATACCATAAACAGAGAGCGTGTAAGGCGAGCGAGCCAGGCATAGCAAGAATGACTGATCACCTTTCCTCACCCAACAAGCGAACCTCTATTGTTGACCCATAACTATAGAAAATATGAAACCCACAGAGTGGAATTTACCATACATTTTCTTGGAAGCTAAAAAGAGAATTCCACTTACCCAAAGTTATATGTTCATATAAAGGACAAAATAAACAGGCAAAGAACACTCACCACACCAGGGACAGAAGTGTTTCAATAACCTTTTTTCAATGATTCTTTGTCCAAGATTTAACTTAACAAAGCCTCCCAGATCATCATCTTTTTTATTGGTCCTAGAGGCATAAGGTACTTTATGGTGTTGCTTCTCTTTAAATTCAGTGGCACTTTGTGTAGGACTCCTAGTTTAAGGCAGTCTTCTGTGAATTTACTGACTAGCATGTGTAATGTGTGCTAACTGGTGAACCGAAGGCCCTGTTGTTGCCCTAACTGGTTTGGTTGGATTTTTACGAGAACCTCTTTGCCTGAAAGGAATGGTTAGCAGCTGGTAACATTTATTTGACTTAAAGGTTTCAAAGGACACAGACAGATGGAAACTAAAGCCCTTTAAGAATTTATCTTTTTGAATTTTTTCTTAAAAAAATTAAGTACTCTGAGACTCCAGGAAGGAATCAACCCTGCTGACACCTTGATTTCAGACTTTTGACTTCCAGAACTGTGAGAGAATGGTTTTCCGTTGTTTTAAGCAACCCTCCTGCCCTGCCAGTTAAGCAACACTAACTTTTTTTTTTTTTCAATTGAAGTATAGTTGATACCCGATGTTACATGAGCTTCAGGTGTACAACATAGTGATTTGACAAGTCTACACATTATGCTATACTTACTACAATTGTAGCTATCATCTGTTACCATACAATGCTGTAACAACACATTGACTATATTCCCTATGATACACCTTTTTCCCTGTATCTCTCATTCCCCTTCACCTATTTTGCCCATGCCCCTACTCCCTCCCTCTGTCCACCACCAGCTGGTTCTGTGTTTATGAGTCTGTTTCTGCTTTTTAAGCAACACTTTAAAAAAAAAAGTTTATTTATTTTGGGAGAGAGAGACAGAGAGACAGAGACAGAGAGAGAGGGAACGAGTGGGGAGGGGCAGAAAGAGAGGGAAAGAGAGAATCCCAAGCAGGATCTGTGCTGTCAGCACGGAGCCTGACATGGGGCTCCATCCCACGAACCATGAGATCATGACCTGAGCCAAAAACCAAGAATCAGACACTCAGCAAACTGAGCCACTCAGGTGCCCCATAAACAATACTTTTACTTTGGGGGAGCAGCATGGTGAGTTGAGGAAGGCAAGAGAGGACATAGCTGTAGAGAACTAGGATTCTGATCTATAAAAACACATATGTAAAACTTCCCTCACTGACTGCAAATATCACTTAACCCAAGTAAAACTCAGTAATTTCCTTACAGTTTATACCTGACTTACCTAAAAAATTGATTAGGGGGGCCTGGGTGGCTCAGTTGGTTAAGTGTTCAACTCTTGATTTTGGCTCAGCTCATGATCTCAGGTTTGTGGGATCGAGCCCCCAGTCAGGCTCTATGCTGGCAGCGCACAGCCTGCTTGGGATTCTCTCTCTCCCTCTCTGTCTGCCCCTTCCTTGCTTGCATGTGCACTTTCTCTCAAATAATAAATATATAAACTTAAAAAAATTGATTAACACTAGCCATAATCAATATAGATGTATTCAGAATATTACTAATGCCAACATGCTTTCATTTGGGATCATAGGGGAAATAAGAAAGGGTCACATAAAACCAAAGCTTCCTAGGACATAAAGCCATACAACTTAGGACTTTATATTTCCTGCATTCATTTAGTCTTTTAACAAACATTTTCTGAGCATCTACCACATAAAATAGACTGTGCTGGGTACTGTGGAGGAAGCAAAGATTCATATGTTCATTCAATAAACATTAATTGAGCACCTATAGTGTGCCAGGTAACTTATAGGTGCTTGGGACACAACAGTGAGAAATGGACAATAAACAATACTATATCATAAACTATTAATTTATATGGCAAGTTAGAAGGTGATAAGTATTAATGGAAAAAATTAAAATTACAGCAAGTTAACAAAGATCAGGAGTATTACAGGGGTGAGTTGAGTAGATATGTTGCAGTGTGAAATAGGATGGCCAGTGTAGACCTTACTGGGGAGAGGGTTGAGTCAAGACCTGAAGGAGGTAGGGCAATTAGCCAAGTGTATAACAGGTACAGGGGGCAAGGCAAGAGAATGCCTGACTTATTTGAGGAGTAAGGGGTCCATTGTGGTGAGAGTGGGGTTGGGGGAAGAGAATGGGGGGATTGATTAGGTCAGAGAGGAAATAAGATGACAAATCATGTAAGGCCTTGTAAGAACTTAAGATTTCACTGAGTAGAAAGAGGAGCCATACGGGGATTTTTTTTTTTTAAGTTTGTTTATTTATAATTTTTATACCCAACATGAGGCTCCAACTCATGACCCTAAGATTAAGACTCATGTGCCCTTCCAACTGAGCCAGTGGGGTGCCTCCACTGCAGGGATTTTTTGAACGAAGGAATAACATATGTCTTAGGATTTAAATTCTCACTCTGGCTGCTATATTGAAACATGAATATAAGCAAGGAGACCTATTAGGAGGCTATTTCAGAAATCCAAGTAAGAGGTGGAATGGCATGGAGCTAGGTGGTAGCACAAGAGGTGGGAGAAGTGGACAGATCCTGAATATATTTTGAAGGTAGAGCCAACAGGATGGATTGGGTGTGAAATATCAGAGAACAAAGGGGGTCACAAATCACTCCTTAGCTTTTGGCCTGAGCACCAGAAGAATGGAGCTATTTTCAACTGAGATTGAGAAGTCTTTGGATGGGTTAGGGGTTTTTGTTTCTGCTTTTTTTTTGTGGGGGGGGGGGGGGAGGGGGGTGCAGTGGATAAGGGGAGAAGTGGAAACCAGGAATTCAGTTTTAGAAATGTTGACTTCAGATATCGATTAGACATCCACATGGTGACATTAGGAAGGCAGCTGGAAATACAATTGTGGATTTGGAAGAGATATTTGGGATAGAGATATAAAATGGTGTTGGCAATAGATGGCATCTAAAGTCTGGAGATAGATGACATTTCCAAAAAAGTGAATGCAGTTAGAGAGGAGAAGACCGAAGACTGGGACTAAAGCCCTGTGGATCTCAACATAAAGAGTTTGGGGAAAAGAAAGAACAGCAAAGGAACCAAAGAAGGGTAACCAGAGGGCTAGGAGGAAAACCAAGACAGTATGGGATCCTGAATGCCAAGAGAATGAAGTATGTCAAGGATGAGGGGGTGGTCACCTGTGTCCAATGAGTGACAAGGTACTAAGGACTGACTGCTGGATTTATCAACATAGAAAGCCATCGGTTTCCTCACAATTTCACTGAGTGTTAGGGGTAAAAACCTAATTGGACTGGGTTTAAGAGAGAATGAGTAGAGAGGAATTAGAAATAGCCAAGATAGACAACTCTTTTGAGGAGTTTTTCTGCTAATGGGAAGAAAGAAATGGGACAATAGCTGGTAGGGAAATTGGGAGAACAGAAGAGTAGTTTGTTTATCTGAAGAGAAGTGAAATAATATGTTTTGTATGCTGGGGATGATTGAGGACAAAGAAAAGCTGGCGATATATCAGAGGACAGAACTGCTGAATTAAGTCCTTATAGAGGCAAGAAAAATGGCCTCTATGCACAAGTGGAGGTAAGACTTCAAGACTGGAACAGGGATAGCTTATCTACGGTAACAGGAGGGAAGGTTGAGCGTGTGGTGCAGATACTTGCAAGTGGGTAGTTGTGGTGTGACATGCAGAGCACGATCCTTTAAGTGGGGGAAATGTGTCCACAGGATATCACACAAGTGATTATAGGTTCATCAGAAGAATGAAAGCAGTGCTCCCAGGAAACAAATGTGGGCAAACTGTTTCTGGAGACATGAGTGAAAAGGGGGCTCAAGGAATGCTGACGAATGTTAGGCATCTAAAACAAGTGGCAGTGAGTGGGGAGATTTTCCAGGCAAATTAACAGCAGAAACATAGAGTTCTATCAGGCAAAAGCAAGTTGGCCAGTTGGCAGAAGTACAAGGTCTCCTTCCTCCTTTACCTTTTTATGAAAAGGTAGCTGGGCCTCAGGTGGTCAAAGAGCAACCTGAAACAGTGCTTTTTTGGGGGGCAGGGAGGACAGTGAACTGATTTTACGTGGTTTAAAGTACAGAAAACCAGGGGCGCCTGGGTGGCGCAGTCGGTTAAGCGTCCGACTTCAGCCAGGTCACGATCTCGCGGTCCGTGAGTTCGAGCCCCGCATCAGGCTCTGGGCTGATGGCTCAGAGCCTGGAGCCTGTTTCACATTCTGTGTCTCCCTCTCTCTCTGCCCCTCCCCCGTTCATGCTCTGTCTCTCTCTGTCCCAAAAATAAATAAACGTTGAAAAAAAAAATAAAGTACAGAAAACCAAAGGCTGGGAGTGCAATTAGGTATCTCTGATAAGGGACCAGGAGGTCTGAGCTGAGGCAACGCCTAAATAATGGAGGGGACAGAGCGGTTGGAGAGATGGATTGAAGAAAAGTGCCCACACATCAGAGGCTTAGATGAAAAAGGAGCAGGCAGGGTAAAGTCACAGAGGAAAGTTTAGAGCCTTGGTGATGAGATCTTTACCAGAAACAGAAGTGATGCGGGTTTTTCAGGAGAGGATGGTGAGTCTGGTTTGGGACCAGCTGAGTTTGAAGTGGAAGCAGGGCCTTGAGGTGGGTAGCTAAAGGGGAATGCTCAGTGGGAAGCTCAAGAGAAGACCTGCCTATACTTAGATCCTTCCATGCAGAATCATCTATGAAGAGGAGGGAGAAGGATCAACCAGGTCAGGGAGGAGGACACCATTGGTGGAGGGGTGTGGAGTCCAGAGCACGGGACAGGACTTTTGAGGAGTTCAAGGGAATATAGTTTTTTCATTTCTTGAGTAAGATAAAAGATGCCTCTGGGATCTGCTAATACAGGGACAGTAATTGAGGGATGACCCCAGCTGTCATGCTCTGAAATCATCCTGTGTTTGCACCAAGGCCATGATGTCCCTGGCTGCTCCCAATGGCTGAGCACAGTAGAGATACTGGGGCAGACTTCTTTAGGGACTCTCTTTTGGCCTTGCTGAAACTTTCTAAAGAGTACACTGCAGTCTAACACATTTCTCCCTCACTTCCTTCCTCCTTTCCCTCCTTCTCTTTCTCCTCTCCTGTGCCTTTTCCCCTCCTTCCTTCTCCCCTTCCCTTTTCTTCACAGGGGTCAGAGTTGTGTTGTGGTCTGACAGCTGTCTCAGTCTCTTCTGGCGCTCTCCCCATTTTCCCTCACAGGCAGTCCCTCCAATAAATCTCTTGCATGTCTAATCCTGTCTTGGCATCTGCTTGGAGGACCCAGACTAACACAGGACTTTAATCAGACCAAGAACAGGAATTTCCCTTAATATTTCTTTGGCACTTCTCAGTGCCTGACAGTGAGCGAGGCCAAGAGTTGCCTTAGGGATTAGAAAATTGTATATGTAGACGGGAATGCAAGCTGGTGCAGCCACTCTGGAAAACAGTATGGAGGTTCCTCAAAAAACTAAAAATAGAACTACCCTACAACCCAGCAATGTCACTACTAGTCATTTATCCAAGGGATACAGGTGTGCTGTTTTGAAGGGACACATGCACCCCCATGTTTATAGCAGCACTATCAACAATAGCCAAAGTATGGAAAGAGCCCAAATATCCATCGATGGATGAATGTATAAAGAAGACGTGGTATATATATACACTGGAGTATTATTTGGCAATCAAAAATAATGAAATCTTGCCATTTGCAACTATGTGGATGTAACTGGAGGGTATTATGCTAAGTGAAATTAGTCAGTCAGAGAAAGACAATAATCATATGACTTACATCATAAGACAACTTTAAGAGACCAAACTCATGAACATAAGGGAAGGGAAACAAAAATAATATAAAAACACGGAGGGGGACAAAACTGAAGAGACTCATAAATATGGAGAACAAACTGAGGGTTAATGGAGGGGTTGTGGGAGGGGGGATGGGCTAAATGGGTAAGGGGCACTAAGGAATCTACTCCTGAAATCATTGTTGCACTATATGCTAACTAATTTGGATTTAAATTAAAAAAAGAAAAAAAAAAGATCAGTGGAGGGGTAAACTTTAAAAGATAGTAATTTTTATGGGAAAAAATTTGAAATCATTTTGAATTCCTCAACTTCCTGTAATTAAAGACTAGTAAAAATTGGATCCAAATCTTAGGAGCTTAATCTTCCTAAGGAGAGTCTCTCTCCTTCTTGAACTTGTCTTTGGCACCATCGTAGTAGTTATAAAACATATTTCTGGGAAAACATTACTCCTTGTATACATGTAACTGTTTGCATCTTTGTACCTACCTTTCAGATAGGGCAGTAAAGTGATGTGCCTTTGTGCAAAAAAAAAAAAAAAAAAAAAAAAAAAAAATTTGTATTTGTAGAATGACTTAGGGGTGGGGTGGGGGCAGGGGGGAAGGAAGGACAGTCCCAGCAGGTGTGTGACCCCTCACACTAACTCACTGTGTGACCTTGGCCAAGTCATTTAGCCTCTCAGCCCTAATTTTCTCACTATAAAATGAGTGGTTAGACTCAAAGATCTCTATAGTCCCCTCTTCTGTTAACATTTGGAATAAAGTCTGTCTCATTGATGCTAAGAATTATGTTAGAAAGTTGGACAGGTAAAGAGTCTAGAAACTTAGACAAAGGAGAAGAATAGCATTCCAAAGGAAAAAAGTAGGGAAAGAGTTGTGCATGAACTCAACACTTTATAAGATCCCTCACCCCCACCCTGTTTTATTTTTTGTGTTTTCAGATTTGGAAAGCACTTGGTGGAAATCATGAATTTACTGCCAATTGTGAAATAGGAGTAGATCTGTGTACAGCCAGTTGAAGGCTCTTGAATTTCACTTACCTGCATTGTCTCTGAAAGGTAAAAGGGAATAGAGCAGGTGCATTCTTTGTCAAAATTAATAGCATCTTCTCGCAGTTCTGCACAATTTGCACATATTTTTGTGTATTTAATCTATCAGACAGGGAAAAGAACAATTATTAATTGAAAAGTTACATGAGTACATTTCTTAAAAATCAAGTCCTGAGTCCACCACCTAAGCCTTCAAGCTCTCTGGGTCAAGAGCATGGATGCTGGGACATGACTGAAAAACAACCTACAGTAGGGGACAAAAGTGTTTCTGCAGATGCTTGGGAAGAGTGGGCCCTTTTACAATCTTTCACTTTGGGACCTGGCAGCATTTTGCCACTGACCTGGAATTCAGTGTTTCTACTGCATATTTACGTAACCAGTTGTGATAAAGGCTCATGTCTTGATCATAAAGAGGTGTCATTAGGAAAATATTCGTCAATGACTCACAAGAACTGGGCCTACAGCTTGAGGCTAATCAGCTTTATGGGGAAGTCACTTCACTGTGTTTCCATTCTATTGTATGGAAAATATTTATACTAATGAATTTTTCTACATGACATCTAGAGGAAGTTATTAAAAAGGACCAAAAACAGAAAAAGAAATGCTTCCAAAATGTAGGGTTATTTATATACGTGGAATAATTCTGCTTTAAGTGTTATCACATTCTGTTTTTTAAAAATCAAATTCTGTGAAAAATGGTATAGTGGACTCTTTAAAAAAGGGCAGTGTGTTTCAAATGAACAAATCCTATGAGCTTTGGCTGAGAGCCTCAGTTATGTAAAGATACAGCTGGAAGAAGCCTAAGGAAGGGAGGCTCACAGAGAGGCCACTGAGGCTGTGCATTTCCCTCCTGTTTCTTCCTCATTGTGTTGAAGAATAATTGGAAGATTATGGGAATGGGGAAGAGCAAGCAAGCAAGGGAGTGGCCTTCTCCTTGGTAAACTGCCAATGGGATTTACGATTCTTTGGGAGGGAAGACCAACAAGAAATACTGGATTTTTTAATCCTTGCAAACCACTGGAGTTTTGAAGCCAAAACTAAATTAAAAATTAGCCAAAAAGCTACTTAATTGTACCTAGATGCTTATATTTACTTAAATCTTTAATTAATTATTAAATCATTCTTTAAATACACAGGAAGGCTTGAACTATTATTTTGGAAAATATTGATGCCCTTTCTGTTTGTGAAACTGCATTCTGATTTTTAAAAAGCTTTAAAGAGCAGAGCTCTCTCAGAACTGACAGCACACTAAACTGTGACTGAGGAAACTGGGGTTCAGTTCAGCCAATATCTGACCTTGAGTTAAATACTTAACCTCCAGGGCCCACACTTTGTTCATTAGCATTATTTTATCTATCAATTAATCTGTGACCCTGTTGTAGTAGTATACATTTTGCTCCCTGCATTCTTGAGCCCTATTAATGCAGAATTAGAAAAAAAATGGTGATCTTTGAGTAGATGATATCTAAGGTGCTTTCTAGCTCTAAAAACTTTTTGAGGTAGCCAAACCAAGGAAGCAGCCTAAATGTCCATCACAACTGATGAATGGATAAAGAAGATGTGGTATATATACAATATAGCCATAAAAGAGAATGAAACCTTGCCATTTGCTACAATGTGGATGGAGCTAGGGAGCATAATGCTAATAAGAGAGATCAGTCAGTCATGGAAATAAGTATCATTAACCTTGTAAGCCAGTTACTTTGCCTTCCACAAGGCAAGTATAATTTTCTCTTGCCATTTTGCATCTGCCCCTGGTGAGGCCTGGTGGTTTACATCTTACACCAGAGAACTCAAAAGGACTTAATGGTATTTAGTTCCTGGGGAGATAAATTGCTGGGAGCAGAAAATAGAAGTGGAAAGGCATTAGAACAGTGTGGTTTGGAAGGAAGACTGGGGCCTGAAACGGTGTTTTCCTCTTTGAAGTCCTCACCATTTGCCCTAATCCATTCCTTCAAGAGTTTGTGCCTATTATGTACTGACAGTGTGCAAGGAAGGGGCTGTGGATGTGCTGAACAAGGCAACCATGGCTGAGCTCTCTGTTCTTCACACACACTACCTTACCTGCTCTACCATTAGCTCATTGAGGGCAGGTATCAACTTACTTATCTTTACTCATTTGCAAACCCAGCAGAACTCTTAGCACCTTCAGACACTCATAAATGTTAAGTCAATGTTGACAGACTTGGCCTTCATACTTTTGTTGTTAGCCATTATCAGGAGAGGGAATAGATCAGCTTTCCAAGGCTGCCTTCAGAGTGGAGGTCATAGCCTGGAGATGTCTGGTAATCTGCTCAAAGCGGATTTGAATGAAACATTTGCTTACTTTGTTAGACTGAACTGAATGTGGGCATGGCTGATCTAACCGACCAACTCTTATGTCCCCTCCTCAGACCAGCTTCTCAAGATTCTCATCCTCCAACAGTTTGTTAATCACATTGACAAAGGCTTGCCATGGGGCGGGGGGTGGTGTGCCCTTAGTTTCAATTTTTCTCAATCTTGAGTAGAATTTGGTTAATTTTTCTAGGTATCCTTAAGAGGCCAGAAAGATTTGGGTTCTTGCCTTTCCTAAATTAATGGTCTCAGAGGGAGTTCACTTGCAAAGGGAAAGACACAATGCTTGAAAGGGGGACAAAATTGAAGACTTCTATCTCTGTCTCTTCATTTTTTTATCAGCGTGACTCATGGGCATCTGGCAGTCATGTGGCCCTGCCTCTCCTTCTCCTACCTCTATGAATCCTTGGTCAGCACTCTGCCAGCTGAAAAAGCTTCTGCTTTGCCAGGTGCCTGTAAACAAATGGCTGAGATGACCAATGTGAGAGTAACTGTCCTCAAGAGGGAGTAGGAATGAATAAAGCCAACATACAGAGGCTGCCATCATCTGCACCAGCTGAGAAAGGGATGTTCCAGTGTCCTCTATTTCCAGTCTCATCTATTGAGGGGCTCTGTTCTCATACTGATTGCTCACTCATTTATAGTTCTAAAGCTGAAAATTCTTAGAACCTGCCTTAAAAATGTAATGCTTTAAAAATGTAATGCCTTAAAATTGTAAGACGGGACAAACCTCTATTTCCTTGATACTCTTTGCAGACAATATAAGGATGATGCCCACACCAAGGCAGAATGCTCCTGTGGCAAAAAAGCCAGAGAGGACTCCAGTGGCCGAGAGCTGTAACCGGTAGGCGGGCAATTGCTGCTGCTTCAAGGCAGTGTTGTCTGGCAGTTTGGATTGGCAGATCTGGGATGTCTTCTTCATTTTGGTCCTGCAGGTGATGGGTTTGTACTTTTGAGACATTTATAACATTGCTACTCATAGTAATACTGCATAATGATAATACTAAGTTAAGAATTATATGAACCTTCCTCTGTAGTTGCTGTCTTTCTTCTTCCCAGAATTATTCAACTGAACCTGATATTCAGCAGGAACACGGCTCTCTTCAATCAGCCATTGCTAGGTATATTTTACTTTAGGCTCAAAACAAAACAAAAACAAAAACAAAAACAATCCACCCCCTCCCCCCCAACAACTTGTGCTAAATGCCATGGCTAAAAGGAATAGTCCCCAGCAGGGGACTAAACCAACATCTGGTGACCTTGGGAAGCAGTTATAACAGGCTATTTCTGGTATGTGGTGACTAATTCAGGGCAAGCCCTTCCTGAAAGGGGGAAAATGGATTTATCTTTAAGAACTTGCCTAAAGTCTTGGAGATTAATACAAAAAATAATAGGGCTATCAGGTTTTTTACAAACATGGCTGCCTCTCACATAAATACAAACTAAGTTGGAAAAATGCTCTCAAATTACAGCTAGCTTTGCTATTTGTGATAATGACGAAGAAGGAAGGAAACAGGGATTGTGGAACACAGATGTCTAATCTCAATAACTGCCAATTTTTTCATCCATAAGAAAGACTCAGGTAGAAAACGTACATAAAAGCATCTAAACTTCTCCCAAGCATGTGCTTTGGAGTAGCTCAAATGAGGCAAGAGAAAGGAAGAGGAACATAGATAATTGGTTACATGTTCAATATTGCCATACAGTAAAATTGGTTTGGTTTGGGGTTTTTCTCATTTATCAGAAATCTCCTAACATCATTTTTATTAGGCTGTTAATAATTACTTCCTCTTCTTTAAGATGTATTTAAGATACAGAATTAGAATTAAAAAAAATGAGTTTCTAAGCTTCCTTTTTAAATTAGCATTTGGCAGAGAAGCCATGCTGGACTATTTTTATATTAAAGAAAGCAACAACTTTGGCAGGTGTAGCTAGTTGAAAAGAATACAAAATAAATGCAAATGCTTACACTAGGCGTGTAAAAGTCAGAGTCAAAGCTTCCCACTTGCAAACTGGGAAAAGCATAATACCAGTGGGAACTTCTCAGCAAGTCACTTGAATCTGACTTGGAGATGGTGAAGAATATGGCTGCCAGTATCAGCCTTGTGTGAGAAGATGGCAGCAAACACTTAACTAATTCATATCTACCATTTATTTCACTAAGTAAACATGGTCAAGAACTTGGGTTTAAAAGGCAGTAACAGCCTACAAGATTAGATTATATGTGCATGGTTGGCATAGAAAATAATCAGGTCTGTCTGCCATCTACGTACTTGGTCCAACATTGGGTGGGATTATACTACACAGATAACACCTAGCAAACGGGTCATCACAGTATCAAATCTGTAAGAACAGAATTTTTTAGACTTTTTATAAAATAACAAAACCAAACTAACCAAAACCCCAAACCAAAAAACCTTTACATTAGTATATAGTCAGGGCTCTCCAGAGAAACAGAATTAATCAGAGGTATATAAAGAGATTTTGTTATAAGGAATTGGCTCACATGTTATGGAGGAGGCTGGCAAACCTGAACTCTGTAGAACTGATGTCTCAGGTTGAGTATGAAGGCCAAAAGGTGGTGTAGAACCAGGTGCTGAGGTCCCAGTTTGAAGGCTATCTAGCAGGAATAGCGGATGTTTCAGTTGGAATCAGAATTCTCTCTTCTTGGAGGTGGGGGTGGTTTGTGGGGGTGTGTGGGAGGTGGACAGGTCTATTTAGGCTTTCAACTGACAGGATGAGGCCCACCTACAGTAAGGAGGGCAATCTGCTTTACTCAAGCCCACTCATTTAAATGTTAATCTCTTCCAAAAACACCCTCACAGAAACACTCAGAATAATATTTGATCAACTGTTTGGGCACCCTATGGCCCAGTCAAGTTGACACATAACATTAACCATCACAGTAGTAAGTGAACACATATCTGGGACAATGTTCTTGAAATAGCCAGATCTTACCTTATGGGAACTTTTTTAAAAAAATTAATTTATTTAAATTCAAGTTAAGTAACATACAATGTAGTATTGGTTTCAGGAGTAGAACCCAGTGATTCATCTACAGGCACTTTTATATTTACATATTTTTCTTCTAAATAAACCTACTCCAAGCATACAAATATACTTCATATACTCTGCTTTTCAAATTTCTAGAACTGGGTTCCTTAACGTCAGTAACTTCCTTAACTGATTAGTATTTTGGGCCAGATATTTCTTTATTGTGGGGCTGTCCTGTAGGATGGTAGAATGTTGAGCAGTATCCTTGGTTTGTACCTGCTTAATGCCAGTCATAACTCCCCCACTATATGCTAGAAGTTTCCCCCCAGTTGTGACATCCAAACATGTCTCCAGACAGTGCAAATGGCCCTGGGGGGGGGGGGAAGCCCTGGCTGAGACACACATTTCTAGATTGATATGGATATGACAATTTGTTAGCAGCTGTTATACTGTGGTATCATCAGACATTTCAGACAGTGATTTTTTTTTAAGCCCTTGCTTTCAGTTCTCTTTAACTGCTACGCAGATAGCTTCCCCAGGCATTACAGACATTTTCTGTAAATCCGAAATTATTTTAAAATAAAAAGTTAAAAAATAATTAATACAATTGTAGTTACACTGTTGTCTCTCATATGTTTGCAAAGTGCCACAAAAACACTTTCAGCTCTTTCAACCACTACTGCGGCCACACTTCACATTGAGACCAGGCTTTAGTTTAGAAATCTGTTCCATGAGTACCATCACATGGAATCCTCAACAGTCCTCAGAGACATCATTCCCATTTTGAGGCTGATGAAACTGAGGCTCAGAGAGGGAAGGGGCTTGTCTAAGGTTTGCCCAACTGCTCTTTCCCTGCTCCTGCACAGTAACATCAGAGCCCAGTGGGTGGAAAAAAAACTCAGTCTGCTCAAAAAAAAAAACCACACACAAGCTGGTGATACTTTATTATACAGAGAGGTTGGCAAAGGACAGCTTCAGTTTTGTCAAAGAATCTCCATCAAAAATTTCTAGTGATTCATCTGGTGATGCAGTTAACATAATAAAACAATAGCTGATATTTACTGAGTGCTTGCAATATTCCAGAGCTATTAAACGAGATGCAAATCCCATAAAAACTGGAATTTTCATAGGACCCAGACTTAGAAAAGGCCCAGCTTCAAAGATTCTGACTTGCACAGACTGAGGACTCCCATTTCCAGAAGTTCAAAAACCTCCTTTCTTATCTAAAAGAGAAACAAGAGGGGGAAAAAGAGGTTAAGATCAAGAAAAGATAGTCTTGGTGAATAAATTCAACCATCTGGACATCCTGGTATTTAGATAGCTGTTATGGAGGGCAAAAATCCTAACCTGTGTTTTATTCAGAGTTGAAATATTTACTTAAGTAAAAGAAGAGATACTATATAAAACATCAGTTTCATTAAAGTGCCCTTTTGTTACCGTTCAAAATAAAATCTCATTTAAAAAATCTTATACAAAGATGTTTCAAGGTACCCAAAGTATGCCTAGATTACACACATATTTCAATATAGGATAACTGACAAGAATGACATCAACATAATAAAAATAACTATGGATAAAAAGGTGGTTTTTTGACACAATTTCTTATAATTAGAAAACTCATCATGGATTACTCAGATTTAATATTATAACTGAAATAATTAAATATGGCCTCATGTGCCTAACATCAAATTTGTTAAACTGGTTTTAAAAAAACCCGGTCAGTTCAGGGGACAGGATGTGTGTGTGTATAGGAAACTGAGAGAGTTGTCTTTTAACCTGTACTGATATCTGATATAACTCACTGATTAATCATAATCAGGTTTGGTCATTCTGGGGATATATATAGTTTTATGTGGTAAATTAATTCATTCAGCACATTTGGAGAATTAATTTCAAATTCTTTTATAGTTACTGCCATGATGGTTGGTGACTGGCAGTCATGTTAATTATTGCACAAACCCTTTTCTCTCCAACAGATACTTCTAAACATCAGGCTAGCTTGAAAAATTAGCTCCATGGTACACAGTAGGTGGAAAATCAATTTTTCATATTTTGATGATACTAGATTACTTTCATAAATATATAATAAGCTAATGCTTATGTGGCCACAAAGGCATTCAACCAGTTTTAATTCACTGAGACAGCAAAATAATTTCCCTACCCCAAACCAAAATAGCCCTCTATATTAAGTGAGTGAGGTTTTGGGTATGGGAGATGCAGGCCATGAGGCAAGTTTGTGCCCCCGCTCCCTAGCGCATCTGTAAAGATGAAAGACAAAGATGACTATGTCTCTAAAGCAAGGCACACAAAAATATGCCAAGTCCTCCAGAGCTTCCTGTTTCTCAAAGGTATAGTACAGATGTGGTCCCCAGTGGGGCAGAAGCCATTGGTCATTTAATGAAGAAACAAAGCTGATTCCTACAAAAGATATGGAAAGGATACAGTTAGGTCTAAGGGGTGAGATGGACTTTATAACTGCAGTTACTTCAGAGTTAAAAGACAGAAAGAATTTCAATGGCCAGAATTTTTGGCTCCCGATGTCAATGACTTTATTACTGTGTTTGAACTTAAGCTCAAGCTGAAGAAAAAAAGATTACAGGCTGGTTACACGGTACCTCGGGAATGTCCATCATCCTCCTCAACTTCTGATCTCTCCAGTTCCAGTCAAAAACCAGAAATTTTAAGGGGTTCAAATTAAGGCCACCTGAAAGAGACAGAGAGAGAGAGAGAGTTGCTACAGCAAAACCTTATGATAGAAGCTTATCCAAATGACTTTTTAGTCTCCAGGTTGCTTTTTGCCTCATTTGCTGTCCTCTCCCCCAGCAACTAATCTCTGCACACTAAGTGCAGCCCTTGCCTGATGGAAAACAAATGCAGAACTCGGAGATTGCTTTCCTTATAATCTTATCACTGATTCTGAGGGAAGCAGAGAAGCTGCTAAGCTCGTCAACTGCTCAAATCCTGGCAGAGAATCAATCCCAAGACTCCGTTTCGTGAAGCCCCAGAGGGTGAAGTCTCATTCCTGACAAGAATTTGATAAGATGGATCCTGCAATCTAGGTGTGGCCTTTCAGAGGAATTGAATCCAATGGAGTCTGAATGACTTTGAGAAGGTGAATGGACAGAAGGATGAGGCTGGTGTTTGAGGTTTAATTTTAGGCAGAAAAGGAGGTAAATATGAATGGGTTCTATTCAAAGTGTGCTACCCTTTGAGAAGACTAGCAAACCACTTAAGGACTCCATTTCTGTCTTCCTATCTATCTAGAGACAATTATGGAATGTGGGGCTGGAGGGGACTTCAGCTATTGCCTGTTCCTCAGAGGTCTCAGAGTTGGTCACAGTTAGTTTTTCCCACTACCCCAAGCTGTTTCATGTGACATGTGGAAACATAACTGAAGCCTTCCTCTGCAGTGCTTCCCCTCAACTCTTCTCTGTGATTATTTCAGTATTTCCCCTCTGTCCAAAAGACTTTTTCATTCTTCTTATAATTATAATGACTCCTATTTAAATTTCCCTCTGCAAAATTAAAAATGATAAATTGAGAAGGACAATGGGTTGGTAGTCTACCCTTAAAAATAACTTACTGTTGGTGGGAGAGCAAACAGTCTCTCAGGAAGGCACTAGAGCATTATATAATAGAAGCTTAAAATGCTTACTATTTGATAAAATAATTTTCTTTCTATGACATATCACTAAAAAAACATCAGAAACTTAAATATAGTTAATGGGGCACCAGCATAGCTCTGTTGGTAGAGTATGTGACTCTTGATCTTGGGGTTTTAAGTATGAGCCCCACATTAGGTATAGAGATTACTTAAAAACAAAATCTTTTTTTTTTTAAAGAAATAAATATAGTTACTTGCAAAGATGATCATTGCAGTATTATTTATAATAGCAAAAATTTAGAAATAATCCATGTATCCTAATTACTAAAAAACAATATAACTTGGGGTTAATATCCAAAATATATAAAGAACTTATGCAAATCAGCAGCAAAAAACACCAATTAATCTGATTTAAAAATGGACAGAGGAAATGAATAGATACTTTTCCAATAAAGACATTCAAATGGCCAATAGGTACATGAAAAAGTGCTCAACATCACTAATCATCAATCATATTATCAAAAACCCCCACAAGACATAATAAGTGCTGGTGAGGATGTGGAGAAAAGGGACCTATTGTGCACTGTTGGTGGGAATGTAAATTGATACAGTCACTATGGAAAACAGCATGGAAGGACACTCAAGAAATTGAAAATAAAACTACCATATGATCCAGCAATTCTACTTCTGGGCATATATCCAAAAGAAACGAACTCACTATCTCAAAAACGTATCTGCACCACTATGTTTATTGCAGCGTTATTTACAATAGCCAAGACATGGAAACAACCCGTAGTATTCATCAACGAATGAATAAAGAAAATTCACACACACACACACACACACACACACACACACACACACACACAGGGGAATATTATTCATCCATAAAAAGGAAGGAAATCCTGTCATTTATGACAACAGGAATGGACCTTGGGGGTATTATGTTAAGTGAAATAAGTCAGACAGAGGAAGACAAATACTGTATGATCTCACTTATATGTCAAATCTAAAAAACCTAACTCATACAGAACACATTGGTGGATGCCAAAGGGAGAGGGTGGGGAAAATGGATGAAGATGGTCAAAAGGTAAAAACTTCCAGTTGTAAAGTAAATAAGGTCTGGGGATGTAACGTACAGCACAGTGACTGTAGTTAATACTGTCCTGTATATTTGAAAGGTGCTAAGACAGTAGATCTTAAGAGTTCTCATCACAAGAAAAAAATTTATAATTATTTGAGGTGATTGATGTTAACCAAATTTATTGTAGTAATCATTTTGCTATATATGTATAAAGTCATTCCATTGTACACACTGGACTAATACAATGTTATAGGTTAATCATATCTCGATAAAACTGTAAAAACAAGTAGAATATTATGTACATATTATACAGCCATTAAAAATTAAAAATTAAAGGGGCACCTGGGGGGCTCAGTTGGTTGAGCGTCCAACTTTAGCTCAGGTCATGATCTCACAGCTTGTGAGTTTGAGCCCTGTATCGGGCTCTGTGCTGACAGCTCAGAGCCTGGAGCCTGCTTCAGATTCTGTGTCTCCCTCTCTCTCTCTGCCCCTCTCCTACTCTCTGTGTTTCTATCTCAAAAACAAATAAAAACATTAAAAAAATTAAAAATTAAGACTATTTCATAATGAGCAAAGTCCTCATAAGATATGCTAAGTGGAAAAGGCAAGTTATTAAATTATGATATATAGCATGATCTCCACTTACAAAAATAAGTATATAAATGCATAGAAAAAAGACTAAAGGAAATATATTCAGTATTATCTAACAAGTGATTTTCTCTAAAGTGATATATTTTCTTTTCTGTGCTTTTTTGCATTTTTTAAAGGCTCTTATAGTCAGAAAATCTGCTTCATTATTAGATTAAAACAATATACTTCTGTCTATAATTGTACAGATTCCATGCCATGGGATATCTTTCGAAGTCTGGAAACTTTCCTTAATATATTCTACATACAAACATCTTAAGTCATAAACAGCTACATAAAACGAGTTATGTGCCATTGCTTTGTTACATTTCCAGTTTCTAGAGGGCTGGGATTGGTCTCTTTAAATGTTTTGTATGTAGCCTAACACCTGTGGTTAATGAATATTAAATCATGCATCCAATCAGAATCAGAAGTAAAAGTTATTTTCATTAGTATTATAAAAAATCAATAGATCCTTAAATGTTTTTTCACCCCTTAAATGAAATAAGCTTTCACACTGAGTCCTCACTACTCTCCAGAAATCAAATCTCAACAATCTGTATGTAGAGTTTCGTTTTCTCTTTCTCCCTCTCTCTCTCTCTTTTAAATATGGAGAAGAGTGGCCCTATTGCATGGGGTTCCTGGTGACATACAGACAACCATCTGGATTCGAGGTGGGGGAGTGAGGTGAATCTTTGGCTAACAGCTGTGCGAGAGGCAGGGTCCATCCCTGGACCCTCCTGCTGCCCAACCAATCTCTCCCAACTGTCTCACAGGTAGGCTATGAGTGCCTCTCATCTGTTCCTTCACTACAATGCCCTCCTATGTCCACAAGACAAAAATCCAAACTCTTCAACCTAGTGTTCAAAGTCCTCCCTCCACAATCTGACTTCCTTTCGAGTTCAATCACCAGCTACTAAAGCCCACAAAGTTTCCAACCAAGAAAGTTATTCTCTTTAATGAAAATAATAACTAGCATTTATTGAGTCCTTAGGGTGTGAAATTCTTTATTGGCACTTTGTTATCATATCAATCCCAGGAGGAAGATACTATCACTATCCCTCATCTGAATACAGAAAAAGATTTAGAGAGGTTAAGTAACTTGCCAAGGTCACAGAGCTGGTCAGTTGCTGGATCTGGGATTTGACTCTGAAGGTCTGAATCCATGAGAGCTTAACACTGTATCTCAGTCATGTGTATCTGCCTGCCCTCTTCTGATTCAGTGATTCTCCTATTCCTGTTTTTCTCACATTTCCATACTTCAAAGATCCTATTTTAATCCTCCTTATACTTCAAAGATCAGTTAAAGACCCTTTTCTCTGTAAAGCCTTCCATACAGATTCAGCCTCCATAATAATCTATTTCCACTCTTATAGGACTTGGAGGTGCTCATTTGGCCCTTGGCATTTAGTGCCTCATTTTGTCAATCTCATTCTATGTATATTTATCTTTTCAAGGATCAGGAGCTCTTTGAGGGGGAAAGCCTCTAGAGCTAGGAACGCCTAGACTAAGAGACTGTGGGACAGCCACTTAATCCTTCAGAGCTTCAGAGTTTTCTCTTCTATGAAAAAAAAAAAAGCTAGCGTGCAAGGGTGCCATGAATATTTACTGAGATACATAGGAGTGTGTGGCATAGCACCAGTGCAAGTAGGAACTCAAAAACTGTGCTTCCCTTCCTTGTCTGGGGTTGCCAAGTCTGTCACTTCTTTGTAATTGCACAGACCTTTGTACATAGTGGGTTCATTTAACCCTGGATGATTTTCATCTGGAAAGAAACACTAGTATTTTAAGCTTTTGTTTGCTTCTTGGCAAATGACCATCTCTATATTAGTTATTACATTGATGAACATATTACTTTTAGATATATTAAAAAATCTAGGAATAGTTCCAATTGTAACAGAGTTCTATTAGTATATTAAATAAGTAATTTGGAAGTGAGTATTGAAAAGAAATCTTTAATCAGTCTGGCAGGTAAAACAGGTAATAAGATCATCAGCAGATTAACAAGTTTTAGGCTACTGACTTTGAGAGAGCCAACAAATTATAAAAACCCAGCGGTGGATGTTGTCTGGAATACTTTCTGGGTAAAATACTAAAAGAGAAATGAATTTGGGAGAAACACTCTGGAATACCCGTATTTCATCCATAGAAACCTCATTTTAGTTTCAACATGTTTTATATATAAGCCCTCAACTGAAATGGAAGTCTTGGGGAACCAAGATTCAATTAATTAAGAGAGAAATAATCAACTCACCTAGCTCTACAAATTCTAGAGGTTGCAAACTGGTGGAAATGAATTGTGGATCCACTAACCTGCTTAAAGCAAGTGGAATCTGAATGTGTGTAGGTGGGCACATGTACTGAAGTTTGCCACAATCCTTACCATTCCCTGCTGCTTTACACCTGCCTGCTAGCTCTACCGACACAAAGCTAAGTTTCCAACTCCCCAATCAACACAGAAGTCTGGTTTCATTATATCACAAATGTGGTTTCCTAAACTCACATGGGGGGTAAGGTAAACTCCCAGTACTAAGTAGGCACATCAGCGCCTCTTTTCATACCTTGTTTAATGAGTTCTTTAATCCTTCCTGGAGTTCCTACACCCAGGTGCACAACACGCTTCTCCAGCAACTTTACCTGCTCCTGGACCTATTTATTGCAAGACAGAAGAGAGGAAAGAAGAGTCTTTAGAAAGTGCAAATCATAGGCCAATTTAGAGCACTTTATCCAAAAGTTAAGGAAGTAAAAAAGCAAATGGGCTACCCTTGTTTAGGCTCAACATCCAGGGCAATGAAAGTTAAAGTCAAGATAGAAAAGCATTGCCCTATAAAACCGGGGAATCTTCAGAGAATGCAGGGGTCAGATCTCAGCTTCTGTAGAAAAATCTTGGCGCACAGAGGAGTTGTGACTGTTGTGGGGGCAGGTGGGCATGCAGAAGCAGGGAATGCAAAGAACACCAGAATAGTTGTTAAATATGTTATATAAGAACAAAGAAAATATCAGCTAAGGAGATAAGAAAAAGCTGGGAGTGGCCTTTAAGGATAACTTACATCGCCCATCAGGAACCACAGGCCCTTGCTTACCTTTATGTGTTTTGCAAATAATTTCATAACTTTGCTGTCTCCTCTGAATGCTGTCATCGACCTAATAAAAAAAAAAAACACATTATTGCCTAAGAAAACTTACCCATTGCAGGCCACTTTGACTACTAAAGTATTATGTTTTGCTTTATTCAAAAGAATATGGCATTTCTGTGTTTAACTATGAGCACATGCATGTGTGTGTGTGTGTGTGTGTGTGTGTGTGTACACAAAAAAATTCCGAGATTTTCAAGTCAGCCCCACTTTGGAAGGAAAGTGAGGAAGTTTTTTATTCAGGATGTATCTGGGTTGCTTCTAACTCTCATACACAAGGTTAGCTTTACTTAGGTTTCCTTGATAATTGAAAAATATGGATCTGCCCTTCACTTGTTAATACAGAATGTTTATATTTCAGGTCCCTGGCAGAGAATTTACCTTTAAACTCTGCAGTATAGTTCTCATTCAAAATTTAGTTGCAACAAATATCATAGAACAGTGATCTCAGACTGTGCTCTGTGGAGCCCAAGGGCATCTAACAAAAGGCTGTATGTGGCTGCTGTGGCAGATTGCTGGGAATGAGCTAGCAGGGAGGAGAAGGCTTATCTTTCAATCACAGCAGCCCCCCCACCTTCTACTTTGCAGAGAGAAACTTTCGGCAAAATTTTACATGTGGAAATGCTTCTGGTATCAACGGGTATAAAAGTATAAAAGAACGATCTTTTAATTGATGTTTGGTAATAGACCTAACAAGGGAATACTGCTCAGCAATATTATTTTCCTTTATGTATCATGATTATGTTTTGAAAAATAATATTGACCAGTAGGAATACATGAGTTTGCAAGATAGTGAATTATGCTATACACGTTCTGTTGTGCTTGATTTTTACTCACACATAAGCTTTCTCCATGGCAAGGTTAACGAGGAAGACAGTTTAGGGGACATATTTAATGTTAATTCATGGTCCTCAAGAGAACAGATATTCTTAGAAAAGCTAGAATTTTCACCATTAGTCTTTATGAATAGGGCTTGTTGTGCTAGCTCAGTAATCACTTTTTGCAAATCACCTAACCTTGAAGTATATCATAGTATTACGAACGACACAGAAGAACACAGGATTGGCAAATGAAGTGTGACAACATAGTGCTTTTATGCCCTTCAGAAAAGTATTTATGTGCAGTAAAAGCTCAAATCAATTTGACGGTTTGTTTTTAGGAGGTCATCTCCAGGCCAACCTCTTTTGCCATCAACGTCTGAATCTGAAATGAATTCTGTGGTGGTAGTTTTTAGAACACTGAAAAGTCAGTATGAACTAATATGATTTCAGAACCAGCAAGTACTGCCCCAGAAGCAGGTGGAGTCTTGAAGATCAATTGTGTTTAGAGCAGATAGGTCACAAGAAACACTTGTTTTATTGAGAGGGTGTGTGATGCAAGTTAATGTGTGTGTCTTGTGGGGAAAGGAGAATTGGAAGAACTTAAAAACTACTTTTCTAAATTAATAATCAGATTAGTTCATTTAGAAAAATAGATGCTAAATAGCTACTGAGCATCTACATTTGCACCTCACTTTATTTTTCTCCAGGACTTGGATTTTCCTTTGTTTTACCTCCTGTCAAAGTCTGGTACAGAGCCTGGCCCTGGAAGAGGGCTAGTCCCAGTAAACCCCTTTTAACTCTGATGGCTCTTTTCTGAAAGCTCAATGTTACCACCGATCCAGTGGAAGGAAGCCTTTTTGTTTTTTCTATGAGAATGCAGTAAATGAAAAGGTATGTGAAAGCACTTAGTAAAGCACTGACAAATTATCTTTAAAACATAATTTTTATATATAAATTTTCAGTCCATTTGGAATTTATCTTGGTATGAGAGGCGAGATATGGATCCAAAGTTACTTTTCCAGATGGCTGCGTAGTTGTTCCAACACCATTTATTAAATAATCCATCTTTCCTTACTGATTTGTCACCTTTGCCACACGCTACATTTTCAAATGCATATGGGCCTGTTTCTAAACTTCCAATTATGTTCCACTGGTCTGATTTATCACGCATATGCCAGTTCCATACTGTTTTGATTAGTGAGACTCTGTAATATATATCCATTGGTAATCTGATAGATACTATAGGCATAGTATCCTCTCACTAATATTCTTTATCAGAATTTCCCCAGCTCTTTTTTATTCTGTATTTTCTCTTATGAACTTAGAACTATAGCTTATCTTTAAACTTTGAACTTTAGCTTATCTAGCTAAAAAACCAATTCTATTGCAGTTTCACTGGGAATCTGTGAAATCTGTAGATAAGTCTATGTAACACAGACATCTTTATAACATCAACTCTTCTTATTCAACAATATAGTATACCCTTTTGTCTGTTCCAGATCTTCTGAGTGGCTTGTGTAATATTTTCTTGATATAGATTTTGGTAAGCTTATTCTCTGGTGTTCCATTCTTGTTATTATTTTTTTATTTTATTAATTTTTTTTTGATGTTTACATATTTTTGAGACAGAGAGAGAGAGAGACAGACAGAATATGAGCAGGGGAGGAGGAAAGAGAGAGGGAGACACAGAACCCGAAGCAGGCTCTGGTCTCTGAGCTGTCAACACAGAGCTCCACACAGCTTGAACTTGTGAATCGTGAGATGATGACCTGAACTGAAGTCAGACGCTTAACCAACTGAGCCACCCAGGCGCCCCTCTTGTTATTATTTTAAATTAGGTCTTTTTTTCCATTATTTCTTCCAACTGGTTATTGCTTGTATTATTTCCTTGCTTTGACTCTTGCCCTCTACAATGCGTGTTCTCCACAAAGCAGCCAAAGTGATCCTTTAGAATGATTATTCAGATCATGTGACTCCCCTGCTCAAAATCTTTCGGTAACATTGCGTCCCAGCGCCTTTTGTGTTTCCTGTTCACTCTGTCTGGAATGCTCTTCTTCCAGACATCTGCTTGGCTTTCTCCTTCACTTTGTTCATGTCTCTGCTCAAATGTCATTCTCCTTGGAAAAGCCTCCTGTGACAACACTTTTAAAAGTAGCCCCCCACTCCCTTCTATCCCTTCGCTATGCTTTATTTTGTCTTATATAACTTGACACTACCTGACATTATGATGTATATTTATTTGTTCATTGTTACGTCTCTAGCATACAGAGCATATCAGCTTGACACATATCAGTTATTAAAAAAAACATTTATGAAATGAATGGGTGAAGCATCCAACCTAATAAGCTCCAGGGCCCGGAGGGCAGAGCTGCAGATGATCAGCATCAGGACCGATTTCTTCTCATTATGATTTTTCCGAAGTTTTACCCACTTAGGGCAGACTGAAAAAAGACCATTAGAAAAATATTACTCTAAATACAACAAAATAGGGCCCCCAAAGTTGTGTATTCTCCAATTATTCTTTGTTAGTATTTAATTAAAGTAAAATATAATGAGTACCATGTAGATTCTGTTATCTGGTTATTCTAGATATTAGATTAAAATGAAAAATCATTAACTTATAACACAAAGCACACAATATGCCAAGTTAGCTAAATATGATTAGCGAAATGTTAAATCTTTATATCTAAACTATTTCATTGTCAGCCACAAATAGATGACTACCTAATATGAATAATCTAGCTTATTACTGGCTATCCACAATACATGTTGAAAAGATGAAATTAGATTGTGCAATAGCCATGATCTGAGTTCTGAGCATGTGAACAGAATTTCACAATTTCACAGCTAGAATAGACATCACATGTCCAACTTCCTTATCTTTCAGATAACAAAATCAAGTCCCAGAGGAATACACAGTGACTTGTCCCAGGTCAAACAGCAGGGGCCTGGTACTAGAATACCAAGTACTAGAATACCAAGTATTCTCTGGATTCCTAGACCAATACTAATATTAATTTATTATAAACCAAAAATGAGACCAAAACCCAAATTCTCAAAGCCAGAGAAAAACAAGAATAAACATAAATAAGCAGAAATTAGTACCAAGATGGACCTTAAGAGAAACCTCTATTTCAAATCCATTTTAGGTAGAAAGTTTTGCTTTTAAAGGTAGTTTTAGAAGTTTTTAAAGAGATGGATCTTGAGCACCTAGGTGGTTCAGTCATTAAGCATCTGACTTTGGCTCAGATCATGATCTCATGGCTAATGAGTTCAAGTCCCACATTGGGTGAGCTCAAGCCCCACTTCAGATAAAACATGAGCCCCACTTCAGGTGGGCCCTGCTTCTCTTTCTCTCTCTGCCCCTCATAGGATTCTCTCTCTCTCTCTCTCTCTCTCTGCCTCCCAGTCATGCCCTCTCTCTCTCTCTCTCTTTCTCTCAAAAAGAGAAGTAATGAAGTATTTAATGAAGTAATAACAACTTGGTGAATAACTTAAAAGAAAATCATATTTACTTACTTTCTTTTAGGTATGATGAAAGACTATGAGTCAAATCATTGGCCTTGAGGAAACAGGAGTCTAGAATATGACAGACATGCTTTGTAGAGGATTTTGCCAACACACACATGATCAAAACAGATTAAATGAATAAGGATGTACAACATTAGTGAATGGGGGCTCATTATATATTTTAAAGTGTTGTCCAGTATTTAAAACAACAGCAGCAACAAGAACAAGTAAACTTTAACCTTTAAACTTTAACCTTTAAGCCATAATTTCTTAGAGTAGTGAAACAGACTAATGAAGTATGTTTATTTTTCAAGTCTATGGAATAAGCAATACACAAAGGTAAAGGGGAAATAGCTAACACATCTATGTAGAGATGCGCAAACTCACTAGTCATCATAGAAGTGCCTATTAGTGCAATGATGAAATAATACTTTACACACACATTAGAATGGGAATTCTTAGACGGATAATACCAAGTATTGTCAAGGATGTAGGGTGATAAAACTCTTGTGAAATGTAGGTGGAGGTATAAACTGGTAATAGCTATTCTGGAAAGTACTAAAATTAAGTTGTATACACCCTATGACCCCATGATCACATTCCTTAGTAAATGATGGAAAGAAATTCTTATGCGGTCTATAAAGGGACATACACAAGTGTATTTCTCCTAGCATTGTGATAGCATTTGTGATAGTGGGGAGCACAAGGCAACCCAGGTGTCTGTATCTAAGAAAATGGATGACCAATATGTGGTAGATAAAATCATTGGAATACTATGTAGCATTTAGAAGCAATGAACTTGATGTACATAAAGCCAGATAGGCATATCTCAAAAAAGGTCTCAGTGAGAAAAAAAACAAATGAGAAGTTCAGCACATCATTTAGATAAATTGTAAAATGAACACATATACAATGACATGACATTTTACAAGCATATATACACATTTAAAAACATGTATTAACACATTAGACTGAATGCTATGGGGAATGTAAAAAGGAGTGTGGATTGGGGAAGAGTGGGAATAATGCATCAAAATACAACACAGCACCACAGTAAAAGACAATATAACACTTAAATAAAATATAGGGGTCTTGCTCAACCAAGGACTATCATGGTCTAGCAATTATGTAGTATTATTAACTCTGTACCTGAGATGTATAAATAAAAAAGGAAAATCATGTTTATCATTTTAATTCTTTCTACAGGAAAAAGGTTTTCGGTAAACACTGAAGAGTGCCAAGGAGTAAACTATTACTTAATTAAATGACATTTATATTGTGACCCAGCATATATAACTCATATTATGTAATTAACTTCAAAGATATTGCTTCCTATACAACCGTATAGCCTTTCATGGTCTTTAAAACTGTAATTTCCCAATCCTGGATATGATCAGACTCACCCTAAGAGCTTTATAAAAGATATAGATTCCTGGGATGGACTCCTTTTGTTAGTAAGTCAGAATTCCTTGGGAGTGGGCTTGGGGATTTGCTTTTTAAGTTCTTGGGTGATTCAGTTGCTGCTAGCCTACAGGCATTTAGCACTGATCTAAACCACACTGCAGCCCTCAGGAAGTCAGCTGAGTTAACTCCAAGAGATTCCTGCCTCGAAACTAATTAAGTGCCCATGTGTATGACATTTGCAATGTACAGTGGACAATATTAATTGAAAAGACATGTTCCTGCCCTACAGATACAAATAACCTCAAATCAAAACCCTTAGACACTCGGCAAACAAACAGGAACAATCCTTTATGATCTATATCCACTTATATTTATGCCCCTGACTGGAGCCTGTTCCAAATAACCCACAGTGTGCCCCTCCTTTTACCTATCCTGGACTTCCTCTCTGTCCTTGGTCGCGTAAGTGTACCTACTGGGATCTTTTCCCCTGAACGTTCTTACAATGCCTTATTCACTGTGTCTCAGAATGGCCTAATTTCTTAACTGAAAATAAAAACCTGTTCTTTTTATCTATAAAAGTAATTTTAACATTTTCCTTCCTTCCTAAACCGAGCCATGGCCACACATTCTTGCTTAACTACACAACTGAACTGTAATACAGCAATAATATAATGTAAACTCACTATGCAACTCAAATGACTCTTAAAGGTTTCTTCTGACCTCTGATTCTCTACAATACTAGAAAACTAAGATTTATGATGTTCCATAAGTATACAGAGTAGCAATGACCCCACTATCTCACAAATTCTTCTGAAGTTGAAGGTATACTCTAACAAAGAACTATAAGGAAAAAGACCATTGAGGCAAACTTAGTTAAGCTTGGAAAGGAGGCTTTGTTATAACACTTGGTACCTGCAAAACAGCAGTCAGGACGTAGCTCTCCTCAAAAGAACTATACCCAGAGAGAAGTGGTTTTTAACTGCCGTTGGAGCCGTTGGGGTTTTGTGGGTCTAAAACTCCAGATCTCCCTCATGTGGAAATGCACTCCTTAAATTCCCTAAAGCGTATTCCTTTTGGAAAAGAGACAGGGGGCACTCCTGTCTCTAAATTCAATGTGCATTTTGTTTTCAAAAGCACATCACAAAGGAATTATAAAAATTCAGGGCATGGGAAGTTTTTCAGCTTCTTAAGTCTCTAGAAAGCATAAAGTTGTAATGGAAAAGGGAAATCAAGCTACCCTTGACCTTTTCCAATAGCAGTAATTAGATGTCCCTAGTAATCTAAAAATAGCTCATCTGAAACAGTGCCACCCAAACCTTGTGTGATTTTTATAACATCTCTTTTCTTTAATCTCCACCCAAAAGAGTTCCAGGATGTATCAGAAATTTCTAAATTAATTAAAATTAGTTGTTTCAAGAATTCTGCAGTATCTTTAATTTAATTATAAATATTCTAAGGCAGTAGATCTCAAACAACAGTAGAGAATCAACTTGGGTGAGGGGTCAGCTTTGCTAAAAATGCAGAATTTTATCCCTATCTTTAGATAGTTTGCTTGAAAGTCTGGCCTGGAACCCAAAACACTACCATAAACACAAAACTGTAACTAGAAATCTGTGATAAGAACAACAACAACAAAACTAAAAGCTTACTGAAGCTAAAGTTCTTGTCTATAAAAGATGAGTAAATTAATGTTTCATATATATACTTTTAAATATGTGCTTTATCTTTATTTTAATTTAACTTCTATACCCAGTAGGGATTCTTACTCCTTGAAGAATGCTAAAAAAATGCACACTCAACAGTAGCCTTTTGAAAAAAATGCAATTACAAATCTTTCTATTAGATTGAACAAATGCCATTTAGCATCTTAATAAAGGAACCATTCAACAGTTAAAACTATTAGGTTGAGGAAAGGGGTATTAGCATGTGGAAAATACATCAAATTCAATGGCTGAGATGTAGCCATGAACCTTTTTGCTCCTCCTCATCAGGAAAATTGATATCAATAACACTGAGTCTTGCTACATGACTAACCTCAGAACAGTACAGAAAAAAAAAAAAAAAAAAAAGAAGGGAAAAAAACCAGACAAGTCTGGCTGTACCTGGTAGGTTTAGTTCCTCTAACTCAATCACTGAGCGATTGCTGCTGTAATAGTCCTTCATCAGCTTCTGTAGGTCTTCAGGAGTCCCTGGTTTTGGCTCTGATTTTGCAAGAACATCAGTAATCTTCTTCTAAGACATGAGAAGGAAGAAAGAAAAAAAACCCCAGGAAGAGAGATTTTAAAATGGCATTAGCTTAGAATAGGTTGATTCCTCTGGTATTTAAACTGCACATAAATTTTGGTGAAAGCTGAGTATGAATGTGAGTTCTAATAAATACGCTTGAAAAAACTTAATACTTTTTGTATGTAACTACTGCTTTCAAAAATGAATGGGCGATCTAAAAGGCTCCTTGTAGTTCTTGGTCTATGGCTTCCAGGAGAACTGAAATTTCTGTGGGAGTCTCCATAATAGGGCTCTATTATTTTCTATCACAAGTCAAGAAATCTTGTTGCTGTGGAAATTTCTCTTTAATCTTTAGGTGATTTTTATTCCTGGGAGAGAAGAGTTTTGAGAATTTTTTGCTAACCTGATTTTTAAGGCCCCGAGTCTCCATTTGGATTTCTGGGATTAAAGTAAAACCTACAGGGGTAATCTGAGCATTGGAGCCCACTGCAAAGGGGGACTTTAGACTCTGAATCCTCAAGTCTTGGGAGAGAATCTTGAAGTGGCCCCACGAAAAGCAGAGCAGGAAAGACTTTACAGCATCTATTTTGATTTGGACTCATTTGTGTAGCATTTACTGAGTGCCTGCAATGTACTAGGAACACACAGTTGTTCAGTTAATTTTCATCATAAACTTCCCTTCTCATTTCCTTCTAATATTTCACCAAAGATCCACAAAGAGCCATTCCCCACCCCTACTCCAGCCCTTTCTCCTCTTTCCACAACATCCTCATCTCTATACCACTGCCAAGAATGGTCAGTTCTGTCAAATGAGTTAACTTTTAAAAATATGTCACCAGTAGGCACATTTTAGCATGACTTCAGCCAAAGCTAAACTATCTAGCTACAGTTTTGACCTTGAGCCACCAAGAACTTAACACTCCTGAAGGCCATTAGTGTATAAGCTATCAAAGAGAAGTTAAAGTCACTTCTTTAAGGACTTGCCAAATCTCAGCCAATTTGGCATCACCCATCTTTCTGTTTGGTCATTAGTGAGCAAAGAAAACATATGCACACCCCCCCTCAGTTTTCTAAAAGCTTGCTGTTAAGGAATTGGTTTGAATCCATCTTCTTTCCTCTAATCCCCGTCATATTTCCTCTGCTGAATTCTGCAGGAGACCTTCTTGGCAGGGAGAGAATTACACTGCTGTTTTCACAACTGTGGTGGAAGGTCAAAGCTAACCATGCTTTCTCCAAGGCTGAGCCATGAGAAAGTCTGTACAGGAGCAGTACAGTCTTCCATGTACTCAGAGGCAAGCATTAAAATGAAAGGACAGCTTTTTGCTTTATGCTTCCAAATTAAGAGTCAGAAATGCCTTATACTTTTCTTTTTATTAGTATTTTCTTTTTATTAGTATTTCAGGATGTAAGGTTTTAAAAAACTGAAATAGATATGAAAAGGAAGTTGGTAAATTTCTAAATTTCTTTTCTCGGGCAGAGCCAGCGAGCAGGACAGCTTTGGGATCCTTCTAGATTTAGAAATCCATGTCTGTCTTCTAAAAACAATGAAAACAAAGGTGGGGAGCAAAGATGTATGGTGCCTCCACAAGATTGAAACAGGAATCTGAAGAATTTATTTTAACCTCCACAGAAAGACTTAATACTAACCACCTTAGGAAAGTCACCAAACCTTACTAAATCTTACAATCTCTAAAGTGGGAATTACAATAACTGCCTCATCAAAGTACACTATATAGAAATGTGAGGTAAATCACCTGGGGTTGTAAGATATTGTAAGAAAATATTAATTATACCTTTCTTCTCTTCCTTGTCTTGGTGGCATCTTCTTTTGTTTCCTTTGGTTGTACTAAGAAACATTCTTTAGGCTGTAAAGAGATACAGATGAGGAAATTGTCATCTTAGCAGCATGAGGTGTCAACTAATAGTAGGTGCCCCAAAGTACCCAGGCCATGAGTTTATTCTTCAGAGTATCTTGGTGATACTGGGCTGAGAGAATTTGAGAAAATCAGAAAGTGCAGAGGACTTGAGATTGAAAAAAGCTTTGAACAAAGGTCAAAATGTGTGAGTGAGTGTATATGTATGTTTGAAGTGGTGGTTCAGGGTATTAAAGATTGAAGACAGTGGCCAGGTTTGTAAAACACTGGCAGAAACAGATGTGATTAAAATTAAGATGTGGTAAGAAAGTCTTTGACTAGTGTGACTGGCATTTTCCATGAACTAGCAAAGTGTGAGCCTGTATTTCCAAGTCATTGGTTTATTATTTTGTTACCCATTCCTTTCCTCTTTCAATAAGCATTGAAAAACTGAAATAGGACATGTTTACTTATACCTTTATAAAAACAGCTGCACCAAATGCCTTATCTATAGTGACTACAAAATGAATGTTTCTGCTGATGGTCTGACAAAAGTCTCAGCACAATGGCATTCTGAGTAATCAATTTTGCCTGTTGCCTTGACCCCTGAGTACCCTACACAGTTTAGTGCTATTTTTACCCTGAGGTTTTGTGTGTGTGTGTGTGTGTGTGTGTGTGTGTGTGTGTGTGTGTGTGTGTCTGTGTGTGTGTTTAATGTAGAAAAGCAGGAGATTTGGATCAAGACTTTGATTTATAAAATAGAATGCCTCAGATTCCATATTTATTAATAATAAGCAGGAATATAAAATGTTTCCTGTGCTGGTTCTTTTATGCAACATTTTCAAACAAGTTGCCAAGTAAGATATAAAATATAAGTGAAAACTTATTCTGAGTTTTTCCTGGATTAAGTTTCCATTCTAACTAGAAAGTACTCAGTTTAAGCTGGTAAGCTACTAACTCAAACAATCTTGTCTCCACTGGCTCTGTTTAAAATGATTACAGATGAAGCTTTCTATTAAAGTTTGCACACAGCCTGCAGATTAAGAATGCCTATGGCCTGAATCCAGATGTATATATGTATATATGCATGCATGTGTGTGTGTGTGTGTGTGTGTGTGTGTATATAATTTTTTCAAGACGTGGGGCCTGGACAAGCAAGCAGTTTCTAGACTGTTGCAGTTAGTAGAAAAGTAGACTCAAAAGGTTCAGGAATAAAGTAAGAAGGGAATCTTGAAATTTTAGCTTCTTCTCAGTTAAAACAAAAAGACCTGCCAAAAGCAATTGCATCATAGCTGAAGAAAAGAAAGATATTATGACCTCTCTTATTTAGAAAGTTAAGCTGTCTTGTGGATACAGATACATGCCAGTTTGATGCTGGTACATGCCAATTAGAAACTGGGCCAAGGCCACTAATATGTCACAGAAGCTGCCAGATGGTCATAAGAGTCCAATTACAGACTAGCCAACATTCAGCTCATGCTCCTAAGGCAAAGGCCTGGATATGATTAGCAGATCCCTCAAGGCTTACTGTAGTATCTTGTCACCAGTATCAAGGCTTTTGGGAAGCAGATGTAGAAACCTGTTTCATTTTGTTATCTAGCAAATGATAGCACTAAGAGCATGTTCAATGTGATGGGTTGTATTTATGCTAGGTTTACAAAGCTAATTAACTCTAGCATGACATAAATTAAGTCTGGAAATAAGCTCGGTTATAAGGATATAGACTGTCCAATTCTGGAAGAAAAAATAAAAACTTAATTCCGAACCATGCACAGGAAAAAAGAAACATGACTGATGAACTGCTTTAGTTAACATACTGTGTCAGGTTTAAATGTTAGGTTCAAATTCTTAGATCATCCTAAAGGAAATGCACTATACTATTTGTTTTCTGGGAGCGGTCATCTTATGTAGTTGATGTTGGGCACTAATGAAGAAGCCAAATTGATGGTCAATTTCCACAGAGATGAGGTGGCTTTATGAAGAAGTACAAGCCCATTGTATTAAAAAATCCTAAATTTAACCAGCTGCCTTAGAAATACTGATGTTTACCCTCAGAGGGACTAGGTAAAAAGATACACAAGACTCAGGCCAGACTAACTAACCATTTCTGGAAACCAGTTTCAACAGTATATGTCTTTGACAGTTGATAAGTAATGCCATTTCTTCATATGAAATCTAGTGATTTTTTAAAAATGTAGCTTAAATATATAGTTTAAATATTTAGAAATACATATGAAAAAATTAATCTTTAAGTGAAGCATGTGAGGCATATTTTCAGTTCCTTAAAGTGTCAAAAATTATATCCTTTAAGAATGACACTTCTGGTTAAACATGACAAATCAACCTCAAAAATGCCACTAAACCAGAAGTAAGGAAACTGAAAAGTGTATAAATTTATGAAGACCATGAAATTGGGAGAGCACAACAGTAGTACAGAGATTTCAACAACATTTTGGAAAATGGAAAATCGTTGAAAGTGGATAGAAGTGATTAGCAGAAAGACAGAGCTAGCCCTTAGGTTTCTGCAGAGGTGAAAGCTAACAACAGGGGAGGTTGTTTGGCTTATTGGACTCTGAGAAAGTTCAGTAGTTGGAAGCACAAGGTAGTATAGAGAGTGAGGGTTTAAAAGAAGGACATTGGTTTAAAGTTTATATTTAGGATGATTAGCCTCATTCCTGCCTCCCACTGGGCTATATCTCCTGCCCAGACAGCCAAGCAACTATCCAATTACTGCTTCCTCTCATCTTGCTCTTTCTGGCAGCAGACTGAAGGTTTATTCTCTGGAGAGAAGAAGAGGACAAAGAAATCTGGCACAGGGAAGATAGGACAGAAGTTGAGACTCACTTCCTTTTCCTGTCCTGTTTTTGGAATGTCTTGAGCCAGACTTACATATTGTATGCAAGAGACTACTGAACTTTTCTCTGGAAAAATAAAATGGCCTATGAGAAATGCCAAAAGAGAGTGACATTTGGGGGAGAGCATAGTAAAAAAAGCTTGCTATCCTGTTAACTTACTCTGAAGTCCACTAATCAACAGGCCTCACTTATGCACAAAAATATTCTGTCAATTTTTTAGTGTATCTCTTTTCAATATGAATACACAGTTAAGTGTCCACATTAAGAGAAAATAAACAACAAAAAGATAAAAAGTTCAAAATAATTATAATTAATATTCTCAGACACCTAAGGGAAGAAGTTGCTGCCATGAAACAAAAAAGAAAACAAATAAGAAATATGGAATAAAAGTGCAGGAGGAAGGCTTGAAGATAAAGGAAATCTTCCAGAAAGATGAAAAATGGTAAGAAAATTAGATGGAGAATCAGTCCGAGAGATTCAACATCCCAGTAAAAGGTATTACAGAAAAAGGGACCACATAAAACAGTGAAGAAGGAGTGCTCAAAGAAATAATGCAGGAAGAACTTTCCAGAACTGAAGGAAACTTTCTAGAACATGAAACTAAATTGAAAACCCATTACATATATATATTATGTATATGGAACATACCCACACTAAGGAGCATCAATGTGAAATTTCAGATCATTATGGACAAACAAAAGACTAAAATTTTCTAAAAAGAGAAACAATAACATACAAAATACAAAGAATCCAGAAAAAGAATTGTGTCAGATTCTGCAACAGCAATAATGGATGCTAGGGCTTAATGGAAGAATGCCTTCAAAATTAGGAGGAAAATTTATTTGCAAATTAGACTTTTATACCCAGCCAAACTATCAGACAAGTTACGAGTAAAATAAAGGTATTTTCAGGTATTTAAGGTCTCAAAAAATGGACTTCCTACCCATAGATACTAAAAGCTGTATTCTAGCTAGATAAAGGGCTAAATCAAAAAAGAGAAAGATACAGGATTCAGCAAATAAAGAAATTAATCCAGGACAGTGTTGAAGGGGCAGTAAAGACAAATCTCAATTGCTCACCAGACCAAGAGAATAACCTATTCAGAGTGGAATAGGAGTATAGAGGTCTGCAGGAAAGAACAATGAGTGATCTATTTGAGCATATGGAAAATATTCATGGACATGTGGAAAACATACTGGAATATATGGAAACAATTAACTGTAGGAACACAATAAGCTGGGCAAATGAAGAAATGAGGTAAATATTAATGCCATGAAAACAAAGAGTTGTATATATAAGAAAGGAGGAATGATTATAGTCTTTTCCCCCTCAGCACTGAAACGGTAGTTCCATGGTCATAACTGTGAGATAATGACAATGGTTTTAACCACAATTTGATATTGTGTTAGCAGGGGAATTAACAATTAGAGAGGGAGTATGGGGTAGATGGCAGAGATGTGTCCTCATATGCTACCTCAGGAAATTAAAAGATCATGTCAGGAGCTGATAAATGAAAAAAACAGCAGTATAAACTATATGTTAGCAAATAAGGAAAACAGCTAAAAGCTGAGGGTAGTTGCCTCCGAAGAAAGACCTAGGATAAGAGTAGGCAAGGTGATCCTGCTTTTTTATGAAAGACTTTTAATAGTGTTTGCTTATCACTTTGGTAAAAATAAAAAAAAAATTACCATTTTACAACAAAAACAAGCACGTTCACTGTAAAAATTAAAACCAAATTTAGAACTGCTGTTTTAGTTTCTTTTGGGTTTGGTCAAAGTAATTTGGTACACACCCATCAAAATGTCCAAAATTAAAAGAGTGATAATTCCAAATATATAGGATGGTGGGAATACAAAAATGATACATTGGTTTTGGAAAAAAAGTCGGTCGGTTTTTAGAAAACTAAACATGATTCAGCAATTCTACTCCTATGTATTTACTTAAGAGAAATAAAAATATACATTCAGAAAAAGACTTGTATATGAATGTTTGTGGCAGATTTATTCATAATAGTCCCAAATAGGAAGTAGCCCCAGGTATCCATCAAAGAAAAATAGAGGTGCCTGGGTGGCTCAGTCGGTTAAGCATCTGACTTCAGCTCAGGTCATGATCTCACAGTTTGTGGGTTTGAGCCCTGTGTCTGGCTTTAGATTCTGT